AATACTGCTGCAAAAACTTCAGGTTGCAGATATTAAGAAGTATTAGTTGTCCCATGCTTTGGCATTTAAATGAGACTTTAATACAGGTTTGTTTTCCTTTATAGAAAAGATCGTCCTTGGGGAAGTTTCATATAACTGATCAATCTTGGGAAACTGCTGTTTGCTCTGCATGAGCATATACACAGATTCATGTCTGCAGCTCACTGTGGTGTTACTATGTAATATTTCCTGTATTTGCTCTAGTAATCTTACTTTCTTCCTTATAAAAACATGCTTTGTATTCTTCTGTGCATTTCAGTTGTGCATTCATTAGAAGTGCGTTTACAGATTCAAGTTGAGAATACTGGCCTGTTACTGAGGGAGACAAGGCCCTGTGCTCACCCAAACTGAAAGGCTTTGACTGAATGCAGCTGATCTGTGCCCTTTCCTCACATTCAAGTCATACATCACAACAGCCTTTTCCACAGGGAAGAGGAACCTCCAATACAAAAGGGGAACCTCCTGTGCAAACTCCAAGGTGTCCTGCATGCAGCCAGGCATCTTCTCTTGTCTCTTTCCTATGGAGGAACACTGATTGTAGCTGAATGCCTTTCCCCCTCAGCAGTTCAGAAGAGAAATGTGGCTGATCAGAAATAAGACTTTTCCCCAGCAGAGTGGGTAGGGGCAAAGGCAAGGCAGGGGGTACAGAAGGGAGCTGCTCCTGCTTCTCTGAAATGGAATCCAGGCCTTCAGCAGGAAAGGTCCGGAGCTCTGTTTTTCAGCGGAATATAACTTTACAGTGCAGGTACACATGCATGCATAAAGTGAGCACATACCCAGAGCCTGATGTGTGGGAATTTTTGCCAATGTGGACAGGCTTCCTAAAAATTTCTGTTAGGGAAGCAATACCAGGACTTTGTGAATGTTAATGGAAAAACATTCTCCCCTGCACCCCATATCCCATATTCTCCCAAAAGTGAACAAGGTATTTTCTTTCAGTTTTGAGAGATTAAAAATCTGCTTCTCTCTCGAGTAAAATTCCCACAGACACTCTATTCACAGTCCAATTAAGGATAACGGGTGGAGAATGCATTCATCAGCCTCACAATGGGTAGTTCTGGATTTGCATTCATACTATTTGCTACTCAACAAACAACAAACCTGCCTAGCTGTGCCTTCTACCTTATGTGAAAGAAGGTAACAATGCACACATATCCCTTTCTTCCTCCACAATTAAGAAATACATATCTCTATATTTATTCCCACTTACAAACATAAAAAGGCCTAAACAGTAAATGATAAAGCTGTCATAGCACATCCTCATCAATGGTCATTCTCTTCCTTTTCTTTAAAGTCCATAGGCCTGTGCTTAAAACAAGGCAAGATGCAACCAGCAACAATAGCCCACATATTGTCAAAGCTATTGCTGAAGCACTATATTTAACAGGAGCAGCATGACTATTCTTCTGGGGTAGAATAACCACCTGTGCTATGTTGGAGACGTCGGAGTACAGAAAGGCTTTATCAGCTGCGCGAACAGCTATATACAGGAGAGTGATGTTTGCCAAAGCTTCTGGTTTAAACACAAATATTTCCTTGGAGAAAGCCCACTGTGGTGTCAGGGTGGAGGTATTAATGGACGCAGCTTTTTCAAAATGGTCTCTCAGTTCCAGAGGACTTGCACTTGTTCTTATCTCATAACTTGAGGCTGAAAAATGAACCCAACAATTGTGACAGGCTATTGACTGGCTGCTTAAAGTGAAGAAGCAATTGTTGCTGTTTCCTTATGACAGCCATCAGGCTGAGGCATTCAAAGACAGTTGCTCTGAAATGAAATACTACCAGAATAAACAATTTCTGAATAACCTGGCATAAGTAAGGGCTCCAAATGCTTCAGTGCACCTACTTACAGTGCCAAGAAAATCACAGGCTTGGTCAACTAAGGTGACAGTGGTAGCAAACAAGAAATCTTTCTTAGAACCCATCAGAAGCAATGGATTCAGCTCAAAGAAAGACAGAAACAGACAGTGCATAGTAGTTCTACCTTTTATGATGCATTTGCACCTGCATTTTGCAGTAGGTATTTGCTACTAAGCTGCCTATTTCTTTGAATTTAATACTCTTTGAGAGTGATCCTATGGCCTCGATACATCCTTGGGACTGTGGCTGGAACACAGGATAACTCAGATTCTCAGACTTCTGACCTTGGAACTGGAAATGCATACTCTAATGTCTCACTCCTCCTTTCACAGCCAGCACAGAAAGAACCATGCCAGCTGCCTTACTGAGGCTGGTAAACTGAACTCAGAGAATGAGCGAATGGGGCATCCTCGGGGGCAAGGAGAGAGGGAGACCATGACTGCCAGGACACAATATATCCTGATAGCTCTCCAGCCTCCTGAAGCAACTCAGCTAGAAAATGCCACTCCTCCCACTCTGCGCTGGATGCTTACAGCCCTCCAAGTTCAGGGGATTAGGAGCACTCGGGGTGCAGTCAAAAGGACTGTATCCTTAAAAACCAGATCTTTACCTTAACACAGGAATAAATAAGGCAGGAGATAAAATGCCTCCCTCTGTGTTAAGTTGTGACTACTTAGTCTGGGATGAAACTGGCTACTAGCACTGTTATTTCAATTTCTGCATGCACAATTCCTTGAGCATGAAGGGACAGACCCACTCTAGGAAAAGCAAGCCAGATTCCTCAATTATCCATGGGCAGCAGCAGAGTCCAGTGGTTTCTGCACTTATTTAAAAATAAGGCTCTGGGTCTTGTTTGTATAGAAAAGGCATGCAAAACAACTGATCCACAAACTCAGGGTAAGAAATGCACAAGGAAGAGGATAGCTGGACTGGGGCAAAGCACTGAAGCAGAGAGAGGACGAATTACTCCTGGCCTCAGTATGGACCATGGACCTTCTTGGTTTTGCTTAACATTTCAGAAGAGGCAGTAAGGATTTGATTGTTATTAGTCAGATCAGGTCACTGGAGTCCAAGTCTGGAAAGGACTGGCTGAGATATACAGTTTTTATTTATATTTATTTAAAATATTTTTATCCTGCCCTTCATGATAAACGTCTCAAGATGGCTTACAAAGCTTAAAATCAACAGCAATAATAAAAATACGATCGATAATAGTGTTAAAATAATAAATAGCAAAAAATGAATAAATCACATTCATAAGAAAATAAATAAAATAAATAAAAATGAGACTGATAACTTAAACATCTAAAATCCCTAATTCTTAAAATGACAGTTAAATAAAAAGGTTAAATTTAAAAAAAAATAAAAATTATTCTATACAATCATTTTGAAGTAGAATTCTATTTAGAATTCAGAAGCATATTTATTCATATACCCAAAGCATCTGTTTATTTATTTAAAACATTTTTATGCCACCCCCATCGCAACAAAGCCTCGGGGCGGCTTACAACAAAAACAAAGTTATACAATAAAAATATTAAAACCCGGTGCATCTCGGCTTAACATTTTTTAAATCCTACAAATAGCCAATAAATTAACACTTAAAATAAGTTTTAAATAAAAAGGTCTTAGCCTGGCGCCGAAAAACAAATAACGACAGCGCAAGGCGGACCTCTTTGGGGAGCGCATTCCATAGGTGGGGCGCCACCGCAGAGAAGGCCCTCCTCCGAGTAGCCACCCTCCTAATACAATTCACAGAATTTTCCCGGAGAAGGGCATCTGTTGCTGATCTCAAGGGGCGGGAGGGCATATATCTAGTGACAATCATCAATCATTGCAAGGCTTCTGACGGTGGGTTTTATGAATGCAGGTTAAAATATTTTTCAAGGATGACGAGCAGAAAAGAAGCAAATACGGGGCCTACCTTGTCCCTGGTCATAGTCATCCCCAGGTGCTGTCCAGGTTAAAACAACTTTATCAGCTTCTGCCCTGGCATCAAGATCAATGATTTTGCACGGTGGGAACACATCAGTGTAGGGCTGACTGGGAACTGCGGATACTGTGAAAGTGCCCCCTGAAGCTATTCTGCTGAAGCTCCCTGATCTGGTCTGTGTATCTTTGCTATTCATCAATGGCCTCGGTGCATTCATTTGGATTTTACCTAAAACACATTAATATGTGAAGATATAAATATATGAAAAAGCAAGAGCAGAGGTGGAGCAGGGACTCGCCATGCTGGCCACAGAACTATTTCGCAGTGACTGATGGATGCTTGTGCAAGCAGGCTAAAAAACCAATGAAAGACTGAGTGTGAGGGGCCCATGTTAAAGTCCATGCTTTTAATGGAGAACCCTCAGATTCAACCTCATTAGCAGAGGGGTGAAATATGTCAGGGTTACTAGGACGCACACTTTGCTCAAAGAATTATGTACTTTGCATATTTTGTGCAAAGAATGTTGTGCTTGGTATACGTTGCACAAAGAAACCACTGGAGTTCCTGAGCATTTGCTGACTTGATCTCAGTTCACCTCACTTCCTGGCCAGGACTGAGTATAAGAAAGAAGTCAAAAGAGCTGGATTCTGGCCTGATCTTTGCATCCCTCCCTAATGTACTAGACTAAATGGAGCATTATCTGTATCAAAGTAAAATGTGTGCATGTGTGATATATTTGCTTAATTCTTATAATCACACATGATTATATTTAACTCAAAATATGTTGATATAATTCACAGTTGTGGGAAAGGAGAAGCATTCACATGAAAATATTTTGTGATAATGAACCATCAGGCAACTTACTGAAAGAATTTATGAACTGGATCAGTTTGGGGTTTTAAAAAACTATAACTTCAGCTTTCAGTAAAGTACAGTTTATAATATGATGTAATGTGTCCACAGGATGATAACCACTGGCTTAAAGAACCAGTGTCTGGGCACAAAATAATTCTCTTCCTCCGTATTCTTTAATGATGCTTGCATAAGAGAACTCAGAACAGTTCTTCCCACTGAAGAGAGGATCCACTCAGAATTTCTCCTGTGACAAACAGCATAACCAACAACAAAGCCGGAGTAGCAGGACTTGGCCAGCATCTCTGCATCTTACCATCTGTTATGTAGCCAGAAATGTACATAGCATGACTCCACAATGCTACAGGGTGCAGGCCAACAGTCTCGTTGTCTCTTTGCACATGCACTTTCAAGCTGTATCTTCCATTTGTTGTGAAAGAAAACAAGTATTTAGAATATATTCCATCATCTTTTGCAGTATCTGCACCTGCAGCAGCAAGGGAACATTAACATACAAATATTAGACTACACAAGGGTACAACTCCAGGAGTGTGCCTATTTACATACCTCTAAGTGTTATTTGGGCAGTGGCAGTGGGGGAGGGGAGTGTCTTACACCTATTTTGTGTTTTGAAGAAATTCACAATAAATATAAATGTACAAAAGAAGAAATAAAAAGAGTGTACTGGAGCCTTAGTAGCCAGTGACAATGATAGTGACCTTATTTTACCATCCTGAACCATGAATGCTACCAGACCTATAATATCTGTAATGGGATCACTGGAATCTGAATCTATTTGCGCTCAGCAAGTCAGGTCACTGTAAGGACAAGCACACCACCAAAGTGTAGGGCACATCGTCATCAGGCTGTAATGGACAAGGTGGGAGCTGCTGTTAAGCGTGACACACACTGGCAGCAGGAGCCATGCACTGGGCGTAAACATGTGCGTGTGTGTTTGCTTTCAGCAGCAGGTAAGGTGGGACATTTTCCACTGAATTAGAATTACAATATTTGCTATGAGAATGAAGAGTTATCTTCCTTGAAGCTCATTATCCCATGGAATTCCACAGGATATCCCAACCCTCACCATCCACAGCTCGTAGCCTCACTGGGTTTCTCCAAACACTCTGCTTTGTTGCCATTTTTCCTTCTTTAACCTAGCCAGCTCTTTCTCTCCCACTCATCCTTCTACCTGACTTTTTCTGCTCCTCCTAGACTCTGGCCTAGCCCTCTCTCTCCCCTGTACTCCTTTACATTGGTACTTCTCTCTCCTGCCCAACCTTAGCCTTACAATTTCTCAGTCTTCCACTGCTTTATCTTGCTGTTTCTACCCTTCCCATCCTCTACCTCTGTTTTCTCTTACTATGTTGCCCACTTTCAGTCTTGATCTTCCACTCCCTAGTCTTTTTCCATGTAAGCATACATAAAATTGCAAGCTTATATGGCTATTTTGCTCTTCTTTTGTGGGGCCAAGTAAGTGGGTTGGCTTTGGGATTCAGGTCCTTCCTCTGCTTGTAGGTTGCTGCTGGCAGGAGGAAGAGAAACGCTCAGCTGTGTCATTTCCAGAAACAGAAAAGTACTCATTCCCCTCTACATTAGTCAGAACACACCTATAATACAGTGTTCAGTTTTGGGCACCCAGGTTTAAAAAGGAAGATGAAAATCTGGAGAGGGTTCAGAGGAGAGCCACAAAGACGATACAGGACCTAGAAAATTAGCCTTATGATTAGAGGCTGAAAGAATTGAGTCTGCTCAGCCTTGAGAAAAAAAGACTACAAGGTGACATGACAGCACTCTATAGGTAGCTCAAAGGCTGTCACAAAGAATGAAAAGACCTGTTCTCACTCATCCCAGATTGTAGGACATGGAATGATGAACTTAACGTACAGTACGGCAGGTGCAGGCTAGACACAAGGAAGAATTTCCTAGCTGTAAGGGCAATACAACAGTGGAACCAGCTGCCAAGAGAGGCTGTGTGCTCTTGCACACTAGAGGCATCTGAGTGGGAGGGTGTAACTGGCATCCTGCACCAACAGGGAGTTGGACTTGATGGCCTTCTTGGCCCTTTCAACCCTACCATTCTATGACACCAAGCAGGAAGGAGGTAAGTTATACCAGCAGAACAGGAACGGGAAACTAAGCATGTAGGTACTGTTTTCAGCAGCTCTTGGGTGTGTATTGGCAGGCCTACTTTCAGCATGAATTTACTGACACGCACACCAAGACTCATACTTTCTTATCAGTTCTTCCTTGTGAGTATTATGCAGACTTCACTGTAAAACTGATTAATAAGTGTGATTTATTCTTTTTCTGCCCCCACCTAGGCAGTTTGCTTATATGCATAAGAGCCAGGGGAGTATGGAATTTGCAGTGCACATGAATGTTCTGTAGTACCTTTCAAATGTGCCTTAACAAGCAATTTATAGATAAGCAAGTGTCTCTATTACTCCTGAAAACCAGACTGAGCTCAGACTGCTTTAGGCTGTAACACTCAACACCAGGGAGATGAACCTCACCCTGTAGGCCAAATATAGCCTGCCTGGAGTCTCAGTATGGTCCCTTGGTTTCCCCAGCAGACTATGCCCATTCCCTGGGCCCATCCCATTTGCCCTAAACACCAATCGTCTAGTGGCTTTCCCAGCTTTCATAGTTTTTACCCCATTCTAAAAGGCTGGAACGCATCTCTTCAGTTTAATCACTGGCAGGAAGGGCTTTAAGCTAATACATAGTGGCATTTTTAATATTTTTGGCCCTGTACCCGTTTGACTTCACCTCCACCCACCACTGGAACAGAGCCACTGGGAAAGTCTCTAAACCTGAATTTGGTGCTTGGGAAGAAGGAGCTTCAACACAGCTCCTGTACAAACATTCTTGCTAGTAAAAATGTTGATTTTATTGTCCTTCTTGCACATCACAAAAGCAAAATAACCACCATCATTTCCCACCTATGCTTGTTACCTGCACCATTGTCCAAAAGTTCCAAGATAACTGGGTCTCCACTTTCTGGTTCAATAACAGCAGCCACATTTGCACCAAGAATGGGGGAAAAGCCTTGATTAACCTGTGCATACACAATCACAGGATTGGGGTACAAGTTTGCATCTTTATTTGTGTGGGCTCTCACAAAGATGGCAGACACATCCGACTTTGCTTTTCGAGAGGTCACAGTCATTACGAAAACATCAGGGAAAGGGTGAGTGTTACTGAGTCTGTATGACCAATCCCCAACCTGAAAAACAAATTTAACTTTCAGCTTCCTTAACACTTGGTGTAGACATTCCTTACAAAGGTGGGTCCAGCTAGAAACAGCCAAAGGACTATTACCTCTGCTATCTCTGGAATCTGTAGACGAGCAATATGCAAAATGGGATCGATCTTAAAATCTTCAGTGGTATAGCTTCTTCCTTTCGGGTCACACAGAGCAATAGCAGGTTCCTTTGTCTGCCACGTTACTACAAAGAACGTGTCCTTTCCCACTGTGATGTCAATTGTCGTCGTCCTCCTAACCTGGCTGTTGACATTCACCCGCTCCACAGCACTTTCAATCTGTCCAAAATCAGAATGATGGTACTTTTTATTTACCTTTCCATCCTTCCCCCCTGAAGTAATGTAGCCATTTATGAACCACCCCAAAAGAAGACAGATATGCATATAAATTGCACGTGTTAATTCAGAGAGGCAGAGAGAGAGAAAGGGACTGAAATTTAAAAATAATTACATTATGTAAATAGAAATACAGTACATCTTGGAACATGCTGGAAGAAGGTGCCTAGGTGACATTCCTCAACCAACAGGCAGCTCTGCACAGGCTTGGATATAGCACATTAGTCAGGGGCCTACTGAAACTCATGCAAATATCTCAGCAAACTTATTTAGTCTTAACTTATTTCAAATTATTAAAAGTCTGATTATATGTTTTTAAAATGTAAAAACTAAAAGTTTAAAACTTCAAATGTGACATTCTTTTAAACTGGTTCCTATAACCAAACCTATCTAACCTTTGCCCCTGCAACCCCCATAATGAGTGAACTTAAACTGAGAGTGAAGACAGATAGCAATTTGACAGCAGCAGAGCTGACCCTGAAATGTTCTTACAGTGTCCTGCACACTTGCCTCTTCCCATCTAAGGGGTGAGGGAAACAGTTGTGCATGTCGGTGGCAGAAGCCAGCAGCTGACAGCCCTGCTTGCAGGGCCTGGCAAGACAATATCTCCAGGCAACATCCTCCTCCAACTTCCCCCCTGCTTCCTGTCCACCTTTCCCCCTCTTGGGTGTCACTTTTCCGAGCATGGAGAGTAGCCAGGACAGTGCCTTGTGCTGGAAGGGAATGGGGGAGCTAGCTCTTTACCCTCCTTGTTGAGGTTGGAGAAGCACATTTGTCTGAGCTTGGTGGGGGAATCCCCAGTATCTTATGGTTCCTCAGGTAAGGTCTGAGGTCACCGGGTTTTATTTCAGGAATTTGGACACTGGGCTGTTGCAAAGCAGGCTAGAATCCAGAGAGCTGACCCCAGAGAATCCATTAGATTTCCCCCCCCCCCCCCATGGATCCCTCACACATCCCTAACTCAAGGTCAGCCCGATCATCTTATCATGGGTTGTTCTGCAGAAAACCAACCTATTGTGGCTTATTAACCAAGAGTAGGTTACCAAAATGTGAAAATCCACCCACAGAGCAGGACTACGTGAAGATACACAGAAGAGGATCTGTGTTGTACAGACCTGGACAGGCTGGTGGCTAGTGTCACCATGACCTGCAACAATGGCCATAAAGACATCCATTAGGCTGTTGGAGTCTGGTCTGCCACTGGCAAAAAAAGTAAGGCCTCCTAAAAGAGAGCACAGTTGGAGTATTAAAAGTTGAACAACAAGTTAACTTCACTGACTACCGCAAACTTTTCTCAGTGCTTGATAAAAAAATCCAGAGTCTCCAGACTTTTACATGCTGTAACAGAGCAATCCCAAGCAACAGATCTGCTGGATGAAGGAGTGAAGATAGAAGGAAATGGTAGGGAGCTCCAGGAGCAGAGGGAGGACATCAAGCCCAGAAGCTCCAATTACACCAAAGGAAAGCTTAGGGGGCATAATTCGACTGTTGGTGGTTTCCTCACTGTTCCTGCCTGCTTCCATCCTTGTCTCCAGTCTGTCCTGATTTCCAGGTATCTGTTCCCATCCTCCCTGACCTCACCTTGCTCTAGAACATGACTGTCTTTACCTTTGGACTGTGCTCTTGAATTGTGCAATCTTGGACTCTGTTTACTTGGATCTCTCGTCTAACTGACTTTTGACTCTGGACTGTTAAACAAACATGCCTTTTGCCTCTGGCCCTCTAAACCTGCTGCAAGACTCTACTCTGAACTGACACCCTGGTCCTGGGGTCTTGGCCATAAGTGTTTGCCACCCATGCCCCAGACCATGCACATTTCTCCAGTGAGACCCCAGCAATGGGTCCCTTGCCTACCCCAGTCCCTGGCTAACACAGACATTTTTTCATCCCATGGAAATCAATGGGAAGGAACAAAAAGTACCAAAAGGAAAAAACCCCCATAATTTTAGTGGCAAGAACCTGCAAAGCAGTAAAAAGTTCAGATCCCCCCCACCCTCCCACCCGCTATCTCCACAGAATTCAGCAGCAGGGTGGTGGTAGGAAGGCAGAGGCTAACCAGGGGGTTGAACGTAACCCCAGACCCTCCAAGGTTGCCTGCATTGATATAGCCCATCATTTTCCACAAGGCAATGTTTGTCCAAGGACTCAGATACAATCTTGGCCAGCTCTTGTCTCACAGATCTTCTTAGCTGACAGTTCTACAGCGGGACAATTCCGCAGGCAAAGCATACACATTCAGGAGCCGAACTAGGAGGCTTCTTCACTCATGTATTTTGGCCAGCGGTTTGATTGCCTGGATCAACCTGTGCAATAAAAAGTTCAAAAAACAAAGACTTCACCTGTCATTCTTCCCAGTTTTTCCAGTTCTTTGGAGGCAGATTGCCCCAGGGCAACAGTATGAATTATTACACCAGTGCTGAAGATATCAGAGGCACACTTGCTTAGTGAACCCTTGCCTCCACTGGTCAGTAATATCATTTCAGAGCCAGAAGCATCACCATTATAGTTTTTAATTACCTGCAGGCAAACAAATCAGCACTGAAAATACTTTCCATATTTTTTTTCTGGCAAAGAAAACAATGCCAAAAGGAAGGAAGGAATAAATGATGTAGCTTTGCTCCTGGAGGATCAGGTGCTAGCTATGGCCAGGAGTGCCTTTGCCAAACTTCAGTTGCGCCCCTTCCTGAAGAAGCCACAATCTAGCCATAGTGATCCATGCCTTAATCACTGCTAGTTGTGATGTCTGCCATTCAAGGCTGCCTGTTGCAACTTTTGAGAACCTGCAGCTGATGCAAAATGTGATAAGCAGCTTTCCAGTCTGTGCTTTCTAGACCATGTAACACTGGCTCCCAGTTTGTTTCAGAGCCCAATTCAGCTGCTGGTGCTTATGTAGAAAGCCCTAAAAGGCTGGGTGTCAGAATTTCTGAAAGACCATCTCTGCCCATGTGAAATTGCTTGTAATTTACAGTCTTCTTAAAGACCCCGTCACTTGTCCCACCACCCAGACATTAGATTAGTGGGGACATGGGATAAGGTTCCATCTTAGTCTAATTTCAGCTGGGCAATACAGGGTGCATTGTTTAGATCTGCTTTTGTTGTACTTAAAATAGTTTAGTTCTGCTCTCTGTATATTTTAAAGATGCCTATCCTTGCTTTAGAATTTAATTGTTTCTGAGTCAATATTGTTTTTTTAAGTCGTACATTTCCTTGGCGATCCTTTAAGGCAGCAAAGTAATTCATAAATAGGTATCCCAAATAAAAACTTCTACCCCTTTTATAGATTTACAATTGTAAGGGTTTTACAATTGTAAGGGTTTTACAAAGCCCATTATAATTACATTACATATCTATACTATCTGTAGTTGAAGCTCTCTAGGCAGAATTCGCAACATTTCAAGTCACCCATCCAGATTTCGCCCAATCCTGCTTAACTTCCAAGATTAGGCAGGATCAGGCACAGAAGCATATGGCCCCCACCATCCCACCACTGATACGCATGACTAAGTGTATCTTTTCCCAATATGGCTAACACCCCAACAGTCAATAAGAGCCCTGGGGGTCAGTTCTTCCTGAAAATACACGGGAACTTTTCTAAGCGTACTGTCAGAAGTAACCTATTCCACATTCAAAAGAAGCACTGGCTTCCACTCACTTGCCCATGTGCATACACACATTTGCAGTTTTTGTGGTATCCAAAGACATGTATACAATAGTACAATAAAGTAGTCAGCCAAGTGAACATATAGGTTGTGCGTGGATTTCCTTAATTATGTACTGTTGCCCATGTGTGACACAATGATAAAATATACTCTCCTCACCATTGGTAACCCCCCCCCCATATTCTTTTGGCATTTGAACAGTCTGTATATTCCAATTTTGTAAGGCTGAAGCTGCATGTAGTAGTAGGTCACCTACACACAAATCATCTGGTGATGTCTGTGCTACCAGGATGAGGTCTAAGTAACCGGACTGAGTGATCCTAACTGCATTTCTGTGGAAAACCTTGGCTCCTTTTAGGGGCCTGAGCAAACTATTCCAGTCAACTAACCAGGATCACCTTAGAGGTGCCAGGGGATTGGGCATATAACCAAGAGGCTTCCAGTTGCTCATTGTCTTTGATTCACCTTTGCTTTGGATTCCAAGTACTTCTGTCTGGCTTTGATCCTCTATGGTAGCCTAGCTGTGCACAGACAGGTTTGTTGTTGTTAGTCGCGAAGTCGTGTCCGACCCATCGCGACCCCATGGACAACACTCCTCCAGGCCTTCCTGTCCTCCACCATCTCCCAGAGTCCACCCAAGCTCACACCAACCGCCTCAGTGACTCCATCTAGCCACCTCATCCTCTGCCGTCCCCTCCTTCTTTTGCCATCTATTGTTCCCAGCATTAGGGTCTTCTCCAGGGAGTCCTTCCTTCTCATTAGGTGGCCAAAGTATTTGAGTTTCATCTTCAGCATCTGGCCTTCTAAAGAGCAGTCAGGGTTGATCTCCTCTAGGACTGACCGGTTTGATTGCCTTGCGGTCCAAGGGACTCGCAGGAGTCTCCTCCAGCAGCACAATTCAAAGGCCTCAGTCCTTCGGGGCTCAGCCTTCCTTATGGTCCAGCTCTCACAGCAATACGTTGCAACTGGGAAAACCATTGCCTTGACTATACGCACTTTTGTTGGCAGGGTGATGTCCCTGCTTTTTAGTATGCTGTCTAGATTTGCCATAGCTGTCCTCCCCAGGAGCAAGTGTCTTTTAATTTATTTATTTATTTATTTAGAAGGCTTCTATGCCGCCCCATTCGCCAAAGCCTCGGGGCGGCTCACAATAATAAATAAACACATTATAAAACAATATAATATGAGTCGACCTGGCCCGAAAAATAAAATAAATAATATTAACAATTAAAATAACGTTTGACTAAAAAGGTCTTCGCCTGGCACCGAAAAACAAATAATGACGGTGCCAGGTGGACCTCTCTGATTTCTTGGCTGCATTCCCATCTGCGGTGATCTTGGAACCCAGGAAAATAAAATCTGTCACTACCTCCATTTCTTCCTCATCTATTTGCCAGGAAGTGAGAGGACCGGATGCCATGATCTTAGTTTTCTTAATGTTGAGTTTCAAGCCAACTTTTGTGCTCTCCTCCTTCACCCGCATCAAGAGGCTCTTTAGTTTCTCTTCACTTTCCAGACAGGTTTAGCTGGCTTAATTATTTTTCCCTTGAAGTATTGCTCTCAAATGTGTTCTGGTGTTTCTGTGCCTTTTATTTCCTTTTCTTCTTCATAAGCTCATGCATTCTTGTAGTTAGTTTGTGACCCAAATATGGGAAGCCTCCTAAGGTGGTGAGTTTGCCTTGTGTGCTGACCAAGAACAAGCCAGTCAAGACGGCTCTTCAGTAGGAGGCAGCTTTATTCCAGGAATGAAAGGGACTACATACACGCAAGCAAAGGTAGGTTATGTGCAGCACCCACTCAGACAGCGCAGGTTCCTAACTTTTACACTGCTGGTTAAACATTCTATCCCCGCTTCCTCTGCTCCACCTATTGTTCTAGTGGCATATTCTTGCTCCAGTCTAGTCTGGCTCCAGCTAGTTTCAGCTGCCCCATCCTGGCCTCCCTCGCTATCTGGGAGGGGTCATTTCCTTAGCCTATGCAGGGTCAGTCATCCTTGTATATGTGATGAGTTGGAACGCCTCTAGAGGTTTATGGTTAGGATGTATTTGTCTATTATTTGTGTGCTCTGTTCTAAAATGCCACAGTCCTACATGCAGGATCTTCCTCCTGGTTAATGCTACTGTTTCATGTTTCGTGGCTAAGCTTTAGAAGCAGAGGGCCCTAGCCCCCACTACCACGAGATGTGGTAGCAGCCCACCTGGCTGGGCTAGTGTGCAGCCTAACCAGCCTGTTGCCCATGCTTCACCTGCTAGGAGTGAGGGCAACCGCTCTCCTCCCTACACACACAAATACACAGGTATGATTCATAAGATAGTGCAGTCCCATATATACTGTGTCACTAAGTTAGAAATAATATCAAAGGGGTGGTACAAGAGTCATCTGGCTGTTGTTGGTATAGTACTGTATTCCCCACTGTATTCCCCCATGGCGCTCCCCTTCTGCTGCCTGCCACACCGGGAAACCATCATCATTCCTGTCTCTTTTAGGATGCAGCATCTCTTCTTGGCCTGTGCAGAAATGGACAGATTGACTTTGTCGCTGAAGGAGAAAGAAGATGCAGACTGCTATCAAACTTGGGATTCTTTTTATTATTGGCTAGAGAAACGGGACTACGCATAGATTTAAATATGTTTAAACATAAAAAGAATTGTAGGGGGCTGACCCAACAGGTCTGATGTTTTTGATGATTGATGTTGTTTTTAGGGGTTTTTTTCCTGTTAGGTTTGTTTAGAATAAAACTTATTCAAAAAAAAAAAAAAAAAAGGGATGCAGCATCTCTTATCAACCTCTGTATGTTGAGGTTTTTTGTCCTTATCTCTTTCAAATGCTTTCACACACTTAAGCACAGATAGGCAATCAGCAATTTCCTGGTCAGCTAAGTCATATGACATACCCAGCATGATCCTGCAGCAACCTGAGACACAGCGAAAGAAGCCAAAATAAGCAGTTCTCACCTCCAAGGCCAGCTGTAATCCAGCACACACATTTGCTTCTTTACCAGAGGAAGCAATGGGCAAGTCTGAAGTAAGCTGCTTCCGTACCTCAGCACTGATTATCTGATGTATTGGAGATTTAACTTCCCCAACGTCACTGAAAGTGACAATTCCAACATGGGAATTCTCTTCCACAATTTGTAGTAGATAACTTTCCACTGCCTGACGCATCTGATTGAGCCAATTGTTCTGTATAAGATTTAAAACATTTAATGGAACAATTAAAGGTAATATCACCCCAAGTTTCTATGGAGCATGGTTAGGCAGAATGCCCTGCTTGACCAAGAGTTCTGTAGAACATGGAAGTACATATGATTATCCAAACAAGAAATAATCTGAGGGCAGGATGAAGATACCATACCATTAGGCATCTTTCAAACAGTTAGATAGCATTATAACATACTGTGAGATTAATCTTTTCTTTAAGCATCAAAAAGCGAATGCCTTTACATTTTTACAAGAGATTTCTATAACCATTTCTGCACTGAAGAGTCAGACCTTACCTTATTCATGCTAATGGAAAAATCTAAGACTAAACAGAGCACTCTGTCTGTTGCCTGTAACAGTGAAAAGGTGGGAGGTGCAGGGAAGCTGTTGCTGCGCAATGGAAGCAGGAATTGAAAGTCATCAGAGTTCCTGATTACATCCCATGTACTCCTATAGCTGCACATGCGGTTCTGAGGACTGGGAGCTTCGGTATTATGGTTCCTTGCATCACAGAATTCAAAGACCTAAAAGCAGGAGACAATCAAATGAGATACAGCAACTCACCACAGTGTTGTAATGTTTATTGCAAAAATTGGTACTTGATCACTTTTGAATGTGGAGTTCCACAGATCAGGAATAAATGGTACCTGCTCCCTCCCTCCAGAGACCATGACTGTCCCTTCCAAACTACAGCAGCTGCACATCTGGAGAACCCTGAGCTAGTAAACACAGCTTCCTTTAGAATTACCAACACTGGGATAAATACAGGCTTATTTATGGGTACAGCAGCCCCATCTAAATCAGTGGAACACCTGTCGGTCACTATAAACTGAAGTCAAGTTCCATTTATTCCAATAGGTCTAAGCACCATTCTAAGCATAAATACCTCTGGATCTGGCCCATTAGATGCCTCACCCACTGGTCACATGCTACACACCTCAGCCTCAAAGCTCGGTAGGCCTAACAGTAATGGCAAATAAATAGAACTAGAGAATCTTGGCTTCAGCTGCAGAGAATGAAGAAGAAAAGAAAAGATAAAGAGCACCCTTGAACACTTGCAGAATGTTTTTCCACCTAGTAGGAAATAACTATAGACTAAGCACACGCTACCTTAAATGCATACCATGTAGAAGACCCTAACTTTTTTAACCATCATGTAATCATGCAGTGTCCCAGTCAGGATATAGACCAGCACATGTGCAGGTTTAACCCTTTCCATCTTGATGCTTTTCCCTCTAAATTTGCCACACCCTTTCCTTTGTGGGGACTAAAAAGAAGGGGAAGCTCTCCATTGATGCCAGTGAAGTTTCCCTCCCACCCACATTTAGTGCCTGCACAAGCAGGATGTGGTTAGGGCGAGAAAATGGCTGGGTGGTAAGTTTAAGCCACTAGCACTCAGCTGTGCTTGTCTTGATTCAGATGCGGCCTTATGAATGTACTTGAAGGTTTAAAAAGTTAGGATAATCTGCATGCTGTACAGTTAATGTAGTGTGCAATTTTGCCCTACAAATATCTCACAAACACCAGATATTAGAGGGAAAGGCTTCCAGATCAGTGTTTGCAGAAACTTAAGTACTGCAAATAGATAATGGCCATTAGGTTCAAGGTATCAAGTAAACACCAACACATGCCTTTTAGTAATACTCATGCCTTTTGGTGACACTTGTTACTTTCTAGGCCAAATATGTTGCACTGTAAGCAAAAAGACAAAGATTGTGACTGGGACACAACAATAAATGCAGACCATATTTTTGAAGCTGCTACCTGTTGCGTGGGAGAAAGACATATACATATTAACTTTAGAAAATGGAAGCTTCCCTGCCTGTTGTGATTCTGTTAATCACCCTGAGCTGGTACAATCTGCTATAAAAATCTGTGCGTTAAATGCAAAGTTGTACTTAATATTGCATCAAATATAGTTTGTCCCAGTCAGCCTTTCATTCTGAATAAAGGTCATGAGGCTGAATTCCTGGAAAATAATCTTGCTGATAAGGTGCACACCTAGTAATAAATCTGCTCATATCAAGCAGCCTGGATCTTAAGGTCTTCCTCCAATTTGCCTCTCCAGATGCCTCCAGTCTTCAGACAGGAGATGAGCCCCAGTGGGAAGATGGTCTTCTCAGAGGTAGCAGCCTATTTATGGAATGTCCTCACCAAGGAGACATTTTGTGCAAGGTTTTATAATTTGCCTGAGAAATCCCATTTATAGATTATTTGTTTTATTTTTGCCCCAGCTCTTTAATCAGTGCTGTTCTGCTTCTTTCTCTTCCATTTTAAATAGTTTTTATCTGTTGCTGGACTGGCTTGTTTAGCCATCATTTTATCATTTTATACTGTTATTTCATGATGTAATTTGATCATAGTAATCTGATGGCATGTCATATTGTGAGCATCTCTGAAAAGCAGGTGATGAGCCTGGAGCAGAGCATACAATGAATCTCAGTAGACTCAACAGGAAAATAGAGTTTCTTAAAAAACACACACACACCACCATCTTTCAGAGATTGATTTGTATTCCCCAGTCACTAACTGGTGCTCTGAGAGTCTCTTTGAGGAGGCAGTATGCATTGGTGGATCAAAACTACAGCTTCCCAGTCTCTCAAATTAGCATTACCATGTTCCCTGGACAGCGGTAAGAAGAAATAGCCTATTCCCTTTATGGGGATCAAATTCACTCCACTTTGCAATCTCATATATTGAAACAAAGGCTGATGCAATTCATAAATCAAAAAGCAGCAGCAATTATGGGAGTGTTGAAAACAATCTCTCTCATTCCACTTACAGAAGATAAGCTTTGCATGTACATTATGGAAGATGACACATTTTGATTCTTGTTGTGCATAAAAACACATCCTTCCTTTAAAAGTCCAGTCCCCTGGTCAATGACACAGTTGCCTTGGGTGCAGGATTCTTTTTCACAAACATAAATTCCAGTAAGTTCAGATGAACACCTAGAAATGAATGTAAGAACTTGAACATGTCATGTACAGATGATCAAAGCAAATATTTCATTCTTGTGGGGTGGGGGGTGTGTGTGTGGAGAATAAGCTTGTATTTGCAAGGAAGCACAAAAAATGTGCACAAATGTTACCTTGTGGCTTTAACCTGGTTTTGTCCTGATAAGTAGAAAGGCTTTTCACTGTCATACTCATCAAATACCCCCCACTGAAGATGGGCCCACTCATGGACAAAAAGTCTGCCTGTATAAAGCACAAAAATGACATGAAATTAACATTCAGGTGTAGCTCTTTAACTTATTATGTATTTATTGGATTTATAGCCTGGCTTTTTTCTTGTAAAGAACTCAAAACAGCTTACACCAGTCTCCTGCTGCTCTCAGTCTTATCCCCCCAGCAACAACCCTGTGAGGTAGGCTGAGCTCAGAGTCTGTGACTGGCCCAGCATCACCCAGTTGGCTCCATGGCTGAGCAGGGGCTAGAACCCTGTCCAAAGAAGACGAGGAGCAAATGTTACTAAGGGCCTTCAAAGTATATTAGAGAAACAGCATGGCTAGAAGGCACTTATATGTCCAAAAACAGAAGAGCAATTTTAAGGTATCTGAGCATTTTTAATTTTTAATGCTCAGAGGTAGCAGTGGCTTTTTGCAACTTATTTGGAGAAAGATAAGTGGTTCCTGTGGAAGGACAATCCTTTTCAAAACATCTCCCCTTCCAGTTTTGGTGCCTAGTATATTATAGGTTATGCATGATTTACACCTAGAAGGCAGGACACCCAACACCATGGGCGCAATGTATATCCTTAATTATATTGTATCTCAATGTTCATTTCTATGCATGATTATTCAGAAGTAAATTCCACTGGAATCAATGGGACTTCCTAAAAGCAAACAGGAATGTCAAACATTGCAGTCTTAGCATCCAATGTTACACTAGAAGGTATTTGCTAATGTGACAGGAATTCCCTCCTCTTTATTTCTTCTACGACCCTGAATTCTGCCCAGAAATGTTTTCTGAAGGGTTTCTTAGAACACCATGTGAGGAAATCACTCCCTTCCCACTTCTGCTGATGGAGCTGCTTCTGTCAGCGAAGTGACAGCATTGGATACAACCTAACGTTCCTCACCTGTAAAACAAAACCAATAACTAGGTATCTTGGGGTGGAGGGGGTGAAAAGAAACAAACATGTCAGAGTTATAATCTTAACCTTATTTACTTGGGATTAAGCATTGCTAGAAGAAAGCAAACCAGAAACAAATGACAAAACAACAAAAAAGCCAGCAGTTGATGCTTCTGGTATAATAGCTATATTTCTCCTAGTCCATTGTCTGAAGATAAGGCGTTAGTATTACAAAGTATTTCAAGCATTTTTATTCTGCTCTTCAGCTAAAAGAGTAGCTTCCATACAATCTGTAAGACAAGTCAATCCCCGCCCACAGACTTTTATGTCCAAAAGACATCAGATAAGAGAAAGGGGGATGGGGACAGAAGAGGCAGAAATAAACTCAGATATCAGTTCTTAAAGCTAAATAGTAATAGGTGTAACAACCAGCTAGATAAAGTTCAGGGAAAGGAGCAGCCCGATGCAGGGAGTCCATCAGGAGAGTGGCTTCACATCACATCTCCCTCTGCTACAGCCTCACTAATATTTATGGACAGCCTGGGACTAATGGCAATACGGTGCTAGAAACAATGGTTTTCCACCTAGAGTCTAGATAGGACCAAACAATATTTGGGTTCAGTATAGGTAAGGCTACGCTCCTCCCGAGTGAGCATGCCGCTCCTGAGTTTCTTTCCTCAGGCTGATTGTTCCATATCGCTGAGTTCACCCAGTGTGAAATGTTGAGGCATCTGTAACACCCCTCAGTCCCCCACTTCTTATACCCCTTTTGCCTGCACATCCCAGCAGGCAGAGCACTGTGAAACTGTCCTGCATCCTTCCCCTTTCTGCATTTCCCACCTAGGCTGTCTCCTAGCAACCAGCATCACTTCTGCCAGGAGAGGGACTTCTATGCCAGGCTGGCTACTCAGTCCCTGCTGGGAGGCCTGCCCAGCCCCGGATTCCTCCTTCAATCCTGTTATTGGTAGACCGGGGCCCTCATCAGCCCTGGCTGTCACCTTCACCAGTTGTGCTATTTCCCTGTTCCTATAGGCTGGTTGGGATTGGCCATCACCCCCATTGCCCTGGACTAACAACTGTTCCCCAGACATTCCCTGACCTTGACCTGATACTGGAGCTCTCCGAGATACCACAACAATTTTGTCTTCCTGTCTAAACTTGAATTCCCGTCAAAGCTGTTACCAATAACAGCACCCCAAAAGCCCCTAATGTAGGTTAGCCTGAGAAAGACCACATAGCTGAAAGACCACAGCCATGTTGCATTTCCTGTCCAGGAGGGAGGGGAGAGAAAAAGAGTGATGAACCCGGACTGAACTCCTGTCAGCAGAATGGCAAAAGGAGCAAGCGGGGAGAACCCATGGGGCCTGGAACCGGTTTGAATTACAGCAGGTACAAAACCATGAGGTGGGTATGAATGTTTGGGAGATTGTTAGCAGACATAGGGGAAGGGAAGTCCTTGGAAGAATAAAGGCTTCTTCTGTAAACTATCAAAAGGAAACAATCAACAGTATGTGAACGTATCCAGTTTGTATCTGGACTTCATGCTTGTGACTGGGGTATATAAATGTATGTTTGCTGTACTTCTGGCAAGACTCTGCTTTGGGGAAATCTAATTCCCCTTGGTCTCTGTTTATTCTAAAGTGCACTAGGATAAAACTGTTTCTGACTCTAAGTTTCATCTCAGGCTCCTTTCAGTTTGGGGTCTGGAGTCCACCCAGATTTGCCCTCATGGTTGCCTGGCTGAGTTTGGTAATAGAGCTAAACACTGTGTATATTCTGGCACCTCAACATACTGTGCATTACCAAGACCAGTTTTAAAATTTACTATGCACTTCAGTAAGAAATTTGAATAGCAATTCAAAGTTGATGTTATTGGTGCCCAAGTCAACAATCATTTTTATTTGTATTTACGTATTTTGATGCTAAATCTTATCTAAAGATGGATTAGTGCATAATCCACTGCTTGTTTAGATTGAAGAAAGGCCTCCAACTCCAACCATGCAGCATTCAACCAGCTGAAATTGTAGACCCTTTTTCTATCTAAATAGACAGAGTGTTACACCATTTATCACATGGGAATACAGAATGCAATATATAGCACTGTGCTGAACTGAAACGCTAAAAAGAGGCATGCCACTGATACCCTTCCATCATTAAGGACTTTGTAGACATGGTTAATTCTGATGAAAGCATGTATGAAAACACAAACAATACTAACAGAAACAAACACATTTAGAATTACCAGATGATCCATAGATTTCACTTGAACCATTGTTTACTAGAAAGTCAGGCGTGAAATGTATGTATTTCCCTTTTTCTCCACACCTTCCATATTGTAAAGTATATGGATCATGTCCATGTTTCCAGTAAGGAGGAGCAACAATGACATCTGCCTAGAAACAAATAAAAATCCTATGAACAAGTTGTGAATAGGTATATGTACTAAATAATGAAAAATAAGGGCAGTACAGTTCCACAGTATCCTACACAAATTCCCTAACAATATTCATTTTATTTCAACAAGCTTAGCAAATGCATTTGTTGGGAAATACAGGAAACATATTTTTAACAAAGAAGACCAACCTGAATCCTCTTTATTATCTAAAAGAAAATATTTAGGACAGCTCTTGTCTACTCAGAAATAAGTCCCACTGAGTTCAGCAGGTCTTATTTCCATGTAAGTGTGCATAGATATGTACTCTGGATAGTTTTTTCTTGCTTGTTAATTTACAAAAATAGTATCAAGGCACAGCAATGAAATGGTATAATATATGAAGTGGCTCCTAAAGGGACCAGGAGTATAAATGCAATTAGTACCTGTAGTTGAGGCATTATGAAAATATACCCACAACAAAAAAATCAACCACTGCCCATATTTTATATAAGTGCATGTGCATGAGAGTGTGTGCACACACTACTTTGCACCAAGAACCAAACTGCACATCATTATTCACAGCGTTGCCCATGAGTGCAGATTTTCTTTTACGTAGCCAAAAAGTGGGGAAGGGAGGAGTGGACACTGTATTCCTTTGCTTGCTGGGCAGTCCTGAACCAGACGGGGGACCCACACCTGCAATTTCATTCTGGCAGGAGCTCTGCCCCATGCAAATAGCAGGCAGAGGAGTCTTGATCCTACCTGTGCCCCATTCTTTCCTCACCATAGCCGGAATCCAACTCAAAAGTCCCCCATGCTGTCTTTGTGAAAGGGCAACCCATGCAAACTGGTCCAAAGAAGACCTTATGAAACGTGACAAGTAACACATTAACTGGAGCAAAGGCTTGCTTGCTTGTTAGTGAATGAATTTGTGGGTTGGGAGTATTGACGTCTATGGTTGTCACAAAGGAAGATGTCACACTGCATTGCAGAGATATGACTCCAACATTTCAGGAGAACTGGAATAGTCTTGCTAAAGTTGGGATCAACCACAGTTTTAGCATGTTTAAACAGCACACGGTCCAATTCCTATTAACAAAGCATTGAAGGATATCAGCATTGAATACCATGATTAGTACTACTTTTACAGAGATAGATGCAATGAAGAGGCCACAGACAGATAGAAGGCACATTTTCTTTTCTTCCCACTCTGAACTAGTAAGTCTTCTGGCCATAGTAGCCCATTAATCCTCTGACTATTATATGTACCTGTATTCTCCCTTATCCATGTATCCAGTTAACCTTCCTACTTTATTATTTTTATTATACAATAAAACAAAGCAATATGGTATATAACTCCAACCACACGTAAGATAACAATTCAAAGCAAAAACATACAAAAAATAAATTATTGCATGTCATATCTCACTGCAATAAATTACTAATCATAAATACAGATATATGCATATTATTTACTGGTGTAACATCTATGGTGTAAGATCTAACAGACTTCAGATAAGTTACTAACAGACTCTGCACTATTAAAAGGGATAACATGAAAGCCGCAGATTCAGCAGGGACAAGTGCCAAGTCCTCCATCCTGGAAAAAGAAACCAAATGCATCGATATAAGATGAGGAATACGTGGCTCAGCAGAAATGAAAAGGAAAAAGACTTTGGAGTTTTTGTGGACAACAGGCTAAATATGAGGCAACAATGCAGTGCAGCCACAAAAAGGGCAAATGCTATCTTGAGATGCATTACTAGAAGTATTACTTCCAAATCACAAGAAGTAGTAGTTCCTCTATTCTCCTCACTAGTCAGACCTCATCTGGAATACTGTGTCCAGTTCTGGGCTCCAAGATTTAAGAAAGATGCAGGAAAATTAGAAAAGTTCCAGAGGAGGGCAACGAAAATGATCCAGGGTTTGCAAACACTGCCCACTGAGGAGAGACTGAGAGAACTGGGCATGTTCAGCCTTGAGAAAAGAACAATGGTGGTGGGGGTGGGGTGGGGTGGTATCACTCTATAAGTACTTCAAAGGCTGTCGCAAAGAAGAAAGTCAAGATCCCTTTTCACTGACACCAGAGTGTAGGACACGGAATAATCAAGTCAAGTTGCAACAACCCAGATTCAGGCTAGATAATCAAGAAAAGTTTCCTCACTACCAGAGCAGTACGGCAGTATAACCAGTTGCCTAGAGAGGTCATGGGCTCTAGAGACATTCAAGGCAAAACTGGACAGTCATTTGAGTGGTATTAACTGGTGTCTTGCAAGAGCAGAAGGTTGGACCCGATGGCCTTCACGCCCCCTTCCAACTCTACTATTCCATACGTCTATGAAATCTTGCCAGACTAATCTGATTTCATTTTTTGATTGGGTGGATAACCTCCCTGATGAACTTTGACTTGAGAAAAGCTTTTGACAAAGTGCCCCATGATGTCCTGACTAGCAAACTAGGTAAAAGTGGACTAGATGGAAGAACTCTTAGGTGGATCCACAGTTGGCTACTGAATCGGACTCAAAGTGTCCGCATCAATGGTACCTTCTCAAACCAGGGGGAGGTAACAAGTAGGGTACCACAGGGTTCAGTCCTGGGCTCAGTGCCCTTCGACATTTTTATTAACGATTTGGATGAAGACGTTCAGGGAACAATTATCATTTCAGCAAATGACACAAAACTGGAGTGGGATAGCTACCCTGAAAGACAGAAAGAAGATTCAAAGTGAATCATGACAAGTTGGAGAACTGGGCTGAAAAGAACAGAATGAAATTCAGTAGGGACAAATGGAAAATTCTGCACCCAGGAAAAAGAAACCAAATGTGTTGTTACAAGATGAGGAATACTTGGCTCTACAATACTGCAAGTGAGAAGGATCTTGGAACAGTTGTAGATCACAAGCTGATTATGGGTTACCAATGTGATGTGGCTGCAAAAAGGGAAAATGCTATTTTAGGCTGCATAAATAGAAGTATCACTTCCAAATCATTTGAAGTACTAGTTCACCAGCCCTTTCAAGTTCACCAACCCTTTACTCAGCACTGTTTAGGCCTCACCTGGAGTACTGTGATTACTTCTGGAAAGCGTTCAGAGGGCAACAAGGATGATCCAGGGACTGAAAACAAATCCCTGTGAGGAGCGATTGAAAGAACGGGGCATGTTTAGCCTCAAGAAGACTGAGTGGGGAGATGACAGCATGCTACAAGCACTTGAAAGGCTGTAACAAAGTGGAAGGAGGGGATCTTCTCTTGATCATCCCAGAGTGCAGGGCTCAAGTCAGGTTGATGGGCTCAAGTCAGGTTCCGCATGAACTTCCTGACTGTTAGAGCAGTACTATAATGGAATGGATTACTTAGGTCAGTGGTGGCGAAACTATGGCACACTTGCCACAGAGGGCACACAGAGCCCTCTCTGTCGGCATGTGAGCCAAGTTGTCCCAGCATCACCCCAGCAGCCAAGCATCAGATAACAGTGCACATAGGAGCCATGTGCATGCTCGAAAAAGGAGTAGTGGTGCCAGGCAATGACATCACAAGCCGCGACTCATTGGCCGCAACTCATCCAAGCTTTCGCATGGCCGGTCAGTGCGTTGCCAAGGATATATATATATTTCCTTGGACTGGCTGTGAGTAGTTATTCTAAACTAAAACCTCAGTTTTCAGGTTTTATTGCAGTGTTGGGACTTTGCGATAAATAGGTGGGTTTTGGGTTGCAGTTTGGGCACTCGGTCTCTAAAAGGTTCCTCATCACGGACCTAGGGAGTTCGTGGGATTTCCACACCAGAGGCATTCAAGAAGCAACTAGACAGCCATCTGAGAGGGATGTATTAACTCAGTGTCCTGCACTGAACAGGGGCTTGGACCAGATGGCTCTCTGGACCCTCCCAACTCTATTATTCTATGATTCTATGAAAAAATGTGTAATTTAGCAATGAAATATCAATGTTTGCATGTTAACAACCCTTCACACTTCTTAGAGCCAATGCTTTTGGATGAGTTGCCTAGGATAACTCTCAATTTAATCTTTTTCCCCCTTGAATTAGGAGTCTGATCTTTTTTGTTTTCTGTTGGTAGGTTTGTTTAGGAAAGGAATAGTCTTAATAATTTTCAAGTTACTTTTGCATACTGTTTTTGGTCTGCTGCAGGAGAAAAAAAAGATTCCAAATGTAATATTTAAAATTGTTAGTGAAGATGTCTTTTGTTATTCCAGCTTATTAAACCACCATCCCTGGTGGTTTAATAAGCTTTATTAAGGAAAGGTTTTGAGGATGATAGTCTGAAGATTACTTATAGAACAATCTTATATTTATTAAAGGATATGCTACCCAAGATTTGCTGCGGGCTACTACCTTTAAGTGTGAATAGCCCCAATTCAAAGCATTAAACATACTAGTTTATACAAGAATAATTTGTACATCAGGGAATGCTGATATTTACTTTGGAGTTTTCCAAAAAAGTGTTATAAGCCTCTTAGGAAGTAATCTTATGGTGGCTGGAAAAGTCTCCAGGTGACAATAAGACATTTCAGAGGTTTCCCTCTGAAGTCATAGACACTGCTGTGACCTTTGAAAGAGAAATCTGAACAGATTTTTTTCGTCCCACACAAAGAATTCACACACTGCAAAACGTAAGTAGCTACATAGGCAGCACTTCTTCACAGTGCGTATTGTCTATGTTAGCTATTCTATTAGCATATCTCCTCCAGCATAATTATAGGATTGCTCTGTTAATTACCTGGACCAGCCTTTCTACAGAAGTTGACCCATCTGTGAATATTCTCTTTTCAAGTAAACCAAAAGAGAGTTCTTCCTTATAAACTCTAAGGGTTTTTCCCCCTGCATTTAATAGTATATTGTGTTCATAGTTGCCTCTTTCTGGATTTAATTGTACCTTTCAGTTATAGTTGTTCAGTAAAATTTTGCAATATAAATTATCAACATGTAAAATTTGTTTATCCTATTCCTAATAGCTTCTGCTGAGGTCATTGTTCCCTGCATCTGAATTCAAGAAGTTCCTAATTCACAAGTTATGAATAAACAAAAGCATCCTAAGCAGACAAGTGGAAAACAGATGTGTATTATTGCACAAACTGGTTTTAATTTTTACCTTCACGTACTGCTCTTGCTTTGGCTTTGCATAAGTGTTTGTTTTCCATGTTGCAGGTATTAAGATTTTGATACTCCCAAAATAGACTCTTCCTTGTGTTGCATTGAATAAATAAAAGGATGCCTCAGTCATCATTTCCTAATAAAAGAATGTAGTAACAGGAAAGTGTCTTAACAAGAATTAGCAGTTCATGCAAATATGTAGTTAGAAACCATTTGGTAATTAGCTAATCAGACTGGCATTATGTTTCAGAGGAAAATGAGTGATCTTCTATCTAGTGAATCTAGAACAGTGAGTATAGAAATCCTTCTTTCAAACGTTTTTCTTATGAACTTCGGGAGCTACTGTGATGGGTCTGTATGCAACAGTAAGACAGGTTTTTTCCGGGTTCTGGCTTATTGGATAAAAGCATTCTGGTGCACACTGCCCACTCGCTCCTGCTTCGCTTCTCCTTCATGAGGAGCAGCTATACAATCCAGGAAATGTCCATCCGTGGTTTGTTTAACGTTACATCCAAGGTGGGATCCTTGGTTTTTTGCACTCCTAACAAACCAGGATAATATGCCACAGTTTGCTCTAAATAAAATATTTTTTTCTTTTTTTTCTTTTTATAGATAAGAAAATAAAGAAAAAGTAACATGAAAAAAGATACCATGGGACCTTACACAAAAATTATATATAGCACTAAGTAAGGGAAATTACACAAAAGGTCAATAATTATTATTACTTCTATCAATTTTATAACAACAATTTTGACTTAATTATACTTGGTTATTTTAAAAAGCCTTTAAATGGGTATCAATTAGCTAATAATTCATCTAAAGAAAGCCCATCAGCTAGCTTAAATTCAAGCCCCTGCCACATTAGGTAGAGTCCATGGTAAGACGAACACCTGCAATAGTCTGGCAGAGGTGGTCTTTGCTAAACACCCTTACATGTCCTGCATATTCATTTACTGCCTTTCACATCTCCATGTTTAGAGCAGATGTTATAAATAGAAAAATTCTGTTCTGGCAATGTTGCTCTGAAGTTGAGATGTATCTGCTTTTATCAAATTTGCCTTAGAAAAGAAACCAAGGCAGTATGTAAATGGGTTGTAAGGCACTTTGTTCCCAGCCCCAAATCAGACATGCCTTTATTGATGTAGTATAAAATATTTATTAGCTGCTCTTCAGTCAAAGTCCTCTGAATACCTTACACAACCAAGCAATAAAAAACTATCAAGTAACAACACACAGAAAAGGTCCCAACAATATCCCATAAAATACCAACATATGAACAACACTCCAAAATGCAAACATATTGGAACTGAAAGCTTTTACTACCAGGACTAAGCCTTATCAGCCCATTACAACTGGGGTGGAGGGGGAACAGAAGCCAAGAAAGCACCAAATGACCAGTTCTGAGGGGATGGGAGTGTCTCTGTTGTTGGGAAATAAATCCTGGTAGAAAAATGTTGCTTACATGTGCCTTTGCATTATAAAATCAAATCTACACCACTCTCTCAGAAGGCACTAGCTTTCCAAGCTAGGTCACTGTTTAGCCTTGCTGCTGCCTTATGGCATTCTTAGCTAGACTGAGAAGTCTCACTAATACTATTATGGAGGAAATACCTGTTTTCTCACCAGCTGCAGAAAAACGGAAACAATGGTGTCCATTTGTTACTGAATGGACCCACCTAAATATCTAGTCTCACAGAGGCAAGCCCCTGCTGAGTGTAGTTGTCAAACCAGATTTCCTGAATGGTTCCTCCATCAGACACATTTGCATGTTTAAACAGACAGACCCAGCTGACCTGAACTGTCAAGAATTTACTGGACTGACCTATCAATACAGCAATCAGCAATGTTTCCATACTAGTGTTACCAGTATTTCTGATCAGGTTAGAACATTATGTCATGCCTAAATGCATCAAGATGCTATTGGACCAACATTATCTGGAAACTTAACACTCTTTATTGGAGTACATGACTAATAGGTTATAAAAGCGTCTGTACATGTGCTGTACCCTGTAATTTATTATTGTTAGTGACTGCAAGAAACCTAGGGGGAAAACCTGGGACTTCAGGCAAGCTTGATATAGCTTGTCCCCTGACTTGCGTATTCAACAGGGCTTACTTCAAAATAGTTTTACTTAGGATCAGAGCCTGAGGCTGCTACCCTAAGCATGCTTGTCAGAGATTAAGTGTGCTTCCAAAGAAGGCTCTGATTCTGAATTGCTCTGCTTCATTCACTGCATTTTAGAGGGATCTGACTTCATCACCTCCAGTCTGCATGCAATCCTCCAATGTTTTTTCATTGCTTCTTCCATCTTTTCTCTACACACACACACACACACACACACTCCACCATGGAAAGAAAATTAGAACAGCTATTAGAAATGCCTTTTGTTTGACAGTGCTAAAGGAGAAGCCTTTGTGTGGAAGCACTCTAAGTCACACTAGACTCAGAGTGCTTACATCTGCCTAAAATTTGGGGGGCTTGCACAACAAAGCTGTAATTCCATGTATACTCATTAAATAACACGGGATGTTCTTTTGTGTAAACAAACACAAGATTGTGCCACAAGTCATTCTGAAAATGTTTGAATGGTCAGCCACTTCCCAAAATCTTAAATCTCAAAGCACAGGATGCCCAGCAATGGTAGCCAAGCTGTATGAAAACCCAAAGGACATTTCTATTCTACAGAACTCAACTGATTTAAAATTATAGTTCTGAGAAGGGGAGACAAGGAAGCTCTGAGACAAGGCAAGACCAATAAGAATTCTTTGGGACATTTCATGACAAAGGGGTGGATTTGTTGGGTGGATAGAACCTAAGGCAGGTAGAATCTAATTTGATATGTTGGATAATAGAAAGAGGGAAAAACAATGGAAACTGTATTAGCAGCTGAAAGTCTGATGAGGCAAATGCCAATCAAGATTTGCCCAGAATGGCTCAGGAGTAACACATTCCTAAAACCCTTTGATGCTTATGAAAACATTGTCCATCATGCTCCATGATAACAAAAAGGAGACAAAATGTACCATCTTCCTTATTCTAACTGTGTAAACATTTTGCCATAAAGTACAGTAGGGAAAAGGCCATTCTACAGATTTCAGGTCACCCCTTTCAAGACAGAAACGTGTGCACACTTCACAGGCAGTTTCAGCAAAAGTCTGATTCAAAACAGAGCTTGCTTGGCCAATTATAATTGCTTCTGTGAGTTTCACAAAGTAGACATGGGCTTAGAAAGCCAAACAAGTAGCTTCTTGTTCTTGCATGTTCACATGCACTCACTGAAAACTTCTAGCATTTCTAGGCCACTCCTTAATTCTCCCATTTTAATAACCATGTTCAAACACCACAGGGTCAATATGTTTCATCTAGTCTGCTATGAAACCCTCAGGCAGTTTCAAACCATGATAGTCCTTAATGTGATATATGTGTATTCATTTGTAGTAATTATTTTATCAAGGGGAACAAGCTTACTACCAAGATAGGCCAGGAAATAAACTCTGTTCCCACAATATAGACTGAAATTGATAAACAATGCAACACTAGATATCTTTGTTCCAAAGTCCTTTTGTCTTGACTAAGTTCTTTTGTCTTGACTTTGGAGCAATGTCCTTTTGTCTTTACTTAAGACCTTTTGTCTTAACTGAAATGGGGTTTAGTTCTTGATGTGTTTAGGGTTGCAGTTATGCAGTGCAATCATATGCATGTTTGAGCAAAAGTTAATTACACTCTGTTCAGTGGGACTATGCCCAACTAAGCAAGCACAGGATGAAGCAGCCTTACTCAAGCTAAACTGACAGGTCTCAGCCTAGCAGTCATACATAGTGCTATTTATACGCATAGAGTTTTAGAGCAGTGCTTCACAAATGATGGGTCTCAGCCCATTTTTCAGAAGGGACTCAGAGGGACCAGCCAGTACCTCTGGCAGGAGGGAAAGAAAGGTACTGTCATGCGGGGAATACGTTATAAGTTAAGCACGAAAGTAGGGAAGAGGAAATGCCACAAAACGAGTAAGAAAATTTTCAGAGGTATTTGGGGTAGATTGGGGGTGGATGAAAGCAATACAAAATAAGATGTCCTCCAGGCAGATCTACACATTCAGCCTGAAATGACTCATGAGGCCATCAGGGACTATGCATGTACATAACCTGAGCTGAATTGTATAACCCCATGCTACCAGGATAATAGCTGTGGCAAAGAATTTAGCAATTTCCAAAGAGGGATTAAGTAGCAACACAAAATTTTAAAAATTGCCAGCTGATGCCAAACTCCACCTGTATCTGCTGCCATTTTCGGCCTGGCTGTGCCCTTATACTCCCATGATGTAACCTGTGGGCCTTCACCTTTTTCTCCTCGATCAAGAGGGCCCTGAGGATAGAAAGTTCGAGTGGATCCCGCCCTGCACTGCTTTAGAGAGTAGGAGATAGTAGGCTCGTGCCCAGCAGTCTAAAATTTGACACCAGGAAGAGTGGGATGAAACACTACTGGGATGAGCTCTCCGCACCTTACCTTTATGCATGCGTACAAGCTACAGGCTACCTTATTACTAACAGTCCCAAGCAGCTTACAGAGATTCAAAAAACAAACTTTTTAATAAACAAATTGCAATTAATATAACACCGTAATAAGCTCACAAATCACTTTCAAATAGAGAAGATACGTTGAAACATTAAAGGCAGAGGAATAAAATCCAGAGATAAAAGCTGCTTGGATTCACAACGAACCCTCTTCGAGGAGGAGACGGTCCGTGGCGCAGCACGTGACCCGAACTCAACCCAATGCGATGCTCGTTCCGGGTGGCTTGTATGTTACCTTAATGCCAGAGACGATTTTCTGATCTTCAGGGACCGAGGGGTTAATGGCCGCAAGCAGCCCATGGTAAGCGTTGCCCTGGAGCGTCACGGCGGCGCCCCCTACAAGCAGCTGGAGGAACGCGAGAGTCAGAGCCGAGCGCAAGGGGCAGCGCGCGGGCGCCGCGGCGGCAACAGCCTCGGCGGCCCTGCCGCGCATCTCGCAGGCTCCACCTCGGGTGCTTCACTCTGCGGCAGCCGCTCGCCGGTGTCCAACAGGTTTTGCCTGCAACATAGAGGAGGAAAAGCAGAAGGCGGCGGGTACTGACGCTTTTAATTGCAAAATGAGGCGGATGCTATTAAGAAATGTTTTTAAAGGATTTATGTCCTTGTTACCCTCGGCGGATTCGAACTTGTTCATCCTCTCCTTGCTGTTGTCTCCCTGAGCAGGATGTTTTCCAAGGAAAAGCAAGTTTCTTAACGGCGCAATCCAGTGCATGCTTAGACAGAATTTTAAAAGTTCTGGCTGGCTGGAGAACAAGGAGCTTGATGACTCTTTCCCTGTCCGAATATGCCCTTCCAGGGTACTTTTCCTGAAATGTAGGTGGGAGCCACGTGGCTGCTGGTTCAGTCCTTACATCTATGGAAATTTCATGGAAAGGAATGAAATAGAGGGTGGCGGTTGTAAGGCATTTTTGCTGTGCCTAAACATGCATAGGATTTCACTAATGCTTTTTTATACTGCCCCATCGCCAACACTCGGGTGGGGGTTACCGAACAAAAATCAAAATGTTAAAATACAGTAATAACACAATATTTAGTTTAAAATAGAATTAAATCAAAGGAAACAAACCCAAATTAAAAACCAGCAGTGGTGCACAGTTCTGTAAAAAGATACTTTTAAATCTGATTGACTAAAAAGCCAGGCATTTAAAGATATTAATCTGTCAGTGAAAGGAGCATGATGTAGGCAGCAGGTGAGCCTGCTGGAATGCCACAACTGATCTTAGGGTCCCATATGTCTTAGAGGAGACCCTTCAGGGGTAATTGTTCTAAGGCACTTTGAGATGAAGGCATCGTAGTAGTAACAGAAGGCACTTGGCAGATATTCCATCTTTTCTTCCATGAATGAGACATGGCTATGAAGACATACCTTTTTAAATAAATTCTTTAATATCTAAGTCCTTTGTGAATGCTTAGATATTCACAAAGCAATAAAACTTTATTGGTTTTATTATACTGTTCTGTTTTTATGCCATATGACTTTTTTGTGTCGTTTTATTGTGTGAGCTGCCAAGGGAGGACATTCTGGCAGTTACAGGCAGCATAAAAAATTGTGTATAAATGAATAAATGATTATGCTTTTATAGCACCCAGATTTTCTGTGGTAGGACAAACAAATAATTAAAAAGCCATACAAAAACATGGGAGGGTTCTGTAGGGATTGGATCTGCTTCTCCCAGAATACAGCATTCAGTGGTGAACACTTCAGATTCTGAATGGGAAGAATAGGTGGGGTTGGAATTCTTAGCTGAAATACCAATACCAGCAAGTTTCAAAATAAGTCAAGTGTTTGCTAAGAACCAGCCCCTCTCTGGTTTGGGAGAAACTCTGAACAGGGAGGACCAGAGAGGAGGAATATTACTTAATAAGTCTCGTCATCCAACACCAGGTCAAAAGAGCTAGACAATTAAGTAACATCCAGCATTCCTGTTATCTGGCCCACAAGTAATAGGAACCTCCTTGGATTGGTTCACACAGTAGCCACAATCCATCATGGATTAATTATATCACTATGGGTTGTGGGTGCTAGTGGCCAGTTTGAATATTTGGGCCATATACAAATGGTAGACAGTCACTATGGTTTATCATGGTGTCCAGACCCAGCAACTGATGGGGGTCGTGTCATAGGTCACAAATCACCCAGCATCCATGGCCTATTTTAAGTTTGTAGGTGATTTATTAACCATGCCATGGCTTGAAAATCCAAAATGACTGCCAACATACATCTCAACCTGCTTCCTGCAATGATATATGAATCAAACCACTGTTGTTTAGATGCTTTGGAAGGGACTTCTGCACACACCACACAAAAGGAGAAAGGGCAGAGTTAAGGGAGCAGGAGAAAAGACCTGGCTAGTGGAACTGGAAGAGTGAAAGTCAAAGGCAGGGATAGAAGGAGATAAGTTATGAAGGGATATTAAGATAAGAGAAGGAGAGGCTGTGCTAGAAAGTTAAAGTAGTAAAAGCAGCAGTTTTTTTAAGGAGCAGATAATGGTAGTGATATTTTCCACAGTTCTCATGTCTCATCTCAAGTTGTTGAGAGCTTTTGTAACATGCCCATCTGGCCTTTTTCCTTTTGCTGGAGAAGGCGCTCTCTGCATGTTTACCTAGGAATAAAGCCCAAAGAACTTAATGGGATTTACATCTGAGTTGGCATGTTTAGGTTTGCACTGCCTGGCTGCAATTCTGTGCACACCTGTTTAGGAGTATCCCTTATGGAACTTAGTGGGGTTTACAGCAGAGTGAACCCAGATGGAATAGAAGCAGGCTTCACATCTATAATCGGCTATCCGCATTTGCCAAGAAGATCCAACAACACCACACTGTGACTACTAGGTAATGTGCACAGAACTGAAGAAGACCTAGTGTATATTACACATTTATTGTCAGTGACTGTTTTGCAATATCTGCTGGGCATTTCCTTTGCATCAATAAAAAGGAGATAGCAAGATTAGCATGAATCACATGGTCAAACATCTTCTGGTTTGTTCTTGAAGTGTATTAATATTCTGCTTAAGCTTCAAATCTAGATTAGCTAGGGACATTTCTCAACATTACCCCTTGACAAATGCTACCCACACTAACACACTGACATGAAATTAAAACTGAACTGTTTAAGTAAATCCTAGCATCTAACAAGCTTTGGCTTGAACCGGACACTGAAGAAAGAATAGGGAATGATATTTCGAATATTTATTATTTATCATTAAAATAATAGGTCATTCTGCCAATGAAACAGCTCCTGAGGAATGGAGAAGAACAACTGTGGACTAATATCAGCAAATTATTCCCAAATTATTATGGAAGAATGCAAAAAGACTTCCCATAGGAAAAAATATATGTGTATGTTTGGGGGGTGGGAGAGATTAGATAAATGACCAAAGAAACACATTTGCTAAGGACGGGTAAGAAGCAAAAGGTAAGAAGCAAAAGGTGACAGAAATAGATGTTGATGGTCTTATAAAGTGCCTAAAATTTAGTAAGCACTGTACAGAAAGAACAAGAAAGTCACAATTTAGTAAATAGGATACAAATAGAGAAATGGAATTGGAAAGGAAGACAAAAAGCAAGCAAATCCAGGTACCAATTCTGAATTTGTAGCACATTACATGATGTCAGCATATCATCTGTCCTGAGCAGGTGGGCCTCCCCGTCTTTAACTATATATAGGCAGGAGTCCTTAGTTTTATCATTGATGGGCATGAAGAAAGTCTCTTGATAGCATGGAAGATCAGTTTACATTGATTGATCTGGGGATGATCATGGGGAGATAGAATGCTAGTGTGCCTTGGCTCAGTTAATGGCTCAATTCAATACTTGCTATGATACTTAGGAAGTTGCCTTATCCACTCAGACCATTGGTCCATTAGAGTAGTATTACGTGCAACAGTCTTCCCCAACTTGGTGCCCATATCAGTTTCATTCAGTATGGCCATTGCCAGAGATAGTGGGATTTGTAATTTACAGCAGCCTTCCCCAACCTGGAGCCCTCTGTATGTGTTGCACTATAACACTCATCATTCCACAGCCAGGACTGGCTGTCTAGTGTTTCAGGCAGGATTCTTCCTAACCTATAATGAAGGTGCTCTACCATTCAGCCATGGCTCTTCCCTTCTAATGTACAAGTTGGTGGTTTAAAATACAGCAGGCTTTTGAATCACACATTCTGGCTTGAGTTTGACAGGATTTCGAATTTTAATTTGCAAGGAATGAACACTCGGCTTCATGGGGAAGATCAAACGTTTGAACTTCGCAGCTTTATTGATCGGTGCCCCAGTACCTGCAGCCACTAACAATAATGCATTACTGGGTAAAGGCAAACTCAACTACAAAATCACAGCCCATGTACAGACACTTTTATAACCTGCTAGTCACATACTCCAATACAGCGTGTTAAGTTTCCAGAAATTTAATGGAAAATAATTCTGATTGCTTTATTGACATGCCAATTAAGTCAAGAAATTAATTTCTTTGCAGCTTGGATCAGCCTGTGTCTGTTTAAACATGCAATTGTGTCTGATGGAGGAACCATTCAGGAAAACTGGTTTGACAACTACACTACACAGGCACTTGCCTCTGTTAAGCTAGATGATTAAATGGGACCATTCAGAAACGAATGTCTTTGTCTCCTCTGCAGCTGATGGGAACACCGGTATTTCCTCAGTGATGGTATTATTCTCCAGCAACTTCTCAGTCCAGCTAAGAATTCCAACTTCTTAAAGGATCAGCAAGGCTAAACAATAGCCTAGTCTGGGGTTCTGCTGCTTTCTGAGAAAGAGGTGCAGGGTTTTTATAACTCAGGCACATAAAAGCAACCTTTTTCTCCCAGTATTCATTTGAATTTTCCCAACAAGTTGTACAAAGCAAAGTCAAACACAAATATAGTTCTGTGTATTACTAGGGGTGAGCCAGATACTGTCCCCTAAGCACCATCAGTAAATGACTCTTACAATCACAGTTCCCTCTAACACAACCTTCCCCTACCTGGTGCTCTCCAGATGGGCTGGCCTACAACAGTCGTTATCACGAGTGATTACGTCGTGGCTGGGGATGATGGGAGTTGTTGGCCAACATAACTAGAGGCTGCAGGATTGCGGAAGGCTTGCTGTAGCACATATAGCCGACACTTTAAAAAAAAAATGTGAACAGGAATATCGCGCTCTAGCTCAAGCTGACATCAACTGAGGTCAGGATAATGATAGTGGTTTCATCGGGAACCGCCAAGCATGCTTTATTTGTGCTATATCAGATTTTTCCTCATAACATTTGTTCCTGAATTCTCGGAATTAAAATATTGCTTCCTCTATACCCTGCTCCAGCTACTCAATCTCTCCCAGAAAAAGAAGAGGGCGGGAAAGCCCCGCTTGCACAGGTCGAAACGTTGCCCATGCGCAGGAAGAAGCAAAGCGAGGGCGCCGGGGATTCCGCCGCTGCTCCTGAGCATGCCCAAGGGGAGGCGGCGAGCACGCGCAGTCGCCCGAGTCCGGAGCGCGGCCGCCACGGAGGCTCCTTCTGGCGTTGCCAGGCGGCGCTTTGCCGCCTTCCCTCCGGAGATCGCGGGCGGAGCTGACGGAGAGCGGCCATGGAGGGCAACGGGGTAATGTCGCCAACTGGCCCCTCGGAAAGGACGCCTGGAAACTCCGTGCTGTGAGGGGAGGGGAGCTGGATGTTGGGCGGGCAGAAGCGGTGGGAGGCTGGTCTGTGGCGCGCTCAGGAGAAGAAGGGCAGTGCTTGGTGGCTGGGCTTAAAGAGGTACCGGGGCACACCCCTGCCTTCGGGCTCATGCTTTGATTGCAAAGCCCTCTCAGCGTCGTGTGTGCTGGTTTTGGCTACGGGTGGTTGAGGTCTTCTCAAGCAGACTACAGAAGCGCGGCTACGTTAAACCTAATGCCGAGCTACGGTGCGGATGCCTGAAAAGCAGTATGAAAGGGTTTTCGGAGAGGTGTGAGCCCCATCATCTCTCGGTTTACAGTCAAGCCCTGTGCACGCGTTCAAGGCATTTTCCTTTTTAGTACTTTACATATTTTTATCGATAGCTGTATTCCAGCATTTTACCTCTTAAAAGGATGCACCCAAAGAAGTTTCCATAATAATAAAATCCAGGAAAGTAACAATAGAGCAACAAATGATAGATCAAAAGTCAGTGAAATGCAGTGATAGGCCTGAGCTTTCTATTTTAGGAAGGTATAAAAATAGATACAGGCATAGATCTATACTAGCATCTACAGTTATACATTCGGGCTCCTCTGAGCATTTGCAAAGTGCATTTCCCTCCCTATAAACAGATGCTAGCTTCTGGAATCCTAGAGAGTCTAGCTTCCAGGCTGAAAGTTTTATGTTTTGAAATGGCTCAGTAGTACAGTCTTTATCATAATGGTACTGTGTTAAGTGTACCTGTCTTTTGCATTGCTGATTTTGTACTGAGCTGCTTGGGACACATTTATATGGAAAAGTTGTATAGTAAATAACAAGAGCAACAAAAAGAACAGAAACAGGCTTGAGTTCTCCCATTTCCCTGGCCAGAAATAAACAGGGATGTGTATGTACATCAACTATAGTCTCATCTGTCTAGGATGCAGAGTTTGCAAAATGCAGCATGCAGCAGAACCATGGCAAATATTCTGTGGACTGCTGTGGACTTATCATATGACGGATGAGATAATTATGCCAGACCAAAGGAGAGTTCTTTGATTTCTTCCTGTTCCTTCTTCCAGCTGCAGTGTCCCACTCTAATCTGTAGCGGAATCAACTGATTTTCAGCCAGTTTTCCAGGGGACATATGCAGCTGCAGCAGGAAGGAGGGAATGAGAAAAAAGAACACAATTTTGTGTGTGACAGAGCTGTTCTTTGGATTCTACCTATTGTACTATGTTGTAATCATAAACAGAATCAATGGGGGGATGTGCTTACTCCTTACAAAATACTAGGAAAGGCTATTTGCATGGTCCTCGCCCCTCAAATTCATGTTGCCGACCCTGTGCCTCCCCCTCCCCCACATTCTCCTGGTGCTGTGTTTTACCTGCATTTCTATATCCCAAGATGCTCCAAAATAAATAAATAGAAAGTCTCATTTCCTCAGGAGGGGAACTGTAATAACCTTCAAAATGGGGTAGAGTATTATTGGCTTCTCTTCATCATCCAACTTTCTGTTTTAGGGTTTGGCTACCTTCTAATCTCATGGCCTTTATAGAAATAAAATCTTAAACTGATTTAGAGCACAGTCATATGCAAGTTTATAAAGAAAAAAATCCTGCATCTCCTAGCAAAGCTGGAAATCTTAGGTCTTTTTTCTGACTAGTCATGCATAGGATTTCACCCTAAAGCTGGCATTAATAGATGGAGATAGACCTCAGTTTCAAATATAACCTGGCTGACTGCTGGAAATAAGAAGTGCCCCTGACACATTCTGCTGCCTGGACAAATGCACACCTGTAGTAGATACAGCTTTGCTTGTGCCTAAGAGACTGTGAAAATGTCACACTTGTATATATAGAATTGGACTTGGGCATCAGTTAAATAGATATTTAAGAATTAAGTTATAAGTAATAACCTGTGAAATATTTCTCATTTTCTTTGGAAAATTACAGAAATGCTATCTTTATTAAACAATGCTTTTCATTTAACCTTTCACTTAATTTTAAGGTTGAGTGTGTACTCTACAAATGTCAGTGCAGGTTTTTTAGCATTTGATAAACTTTAATAAAAAGTCACATATCATTTTGTATGTTTATTTGTCAGAAGGAAGAGGATGGGTCTCTATCTAGCTGGTATGGACAGAATAGTGATCTGTCCCATTACAGTGTGCAAAGGGAGTTATTTTCTTCTAGCAGTTGTAAGGTACGCTATAAAAGGTTTTGTTACTGAAATATGTGTTACATTCACACCCATATAGACAATTGGAGCACCGTCACCCCTATTTCAAAATATTCTCTACAAACATTTTATTATTTAATCATTAGCATTGCTTATCTACCAATCAATAAAATGTCTAATTAGTTCACCTAGAAACATGACTTAGTTTCTATCAGATTTTAATGATAAAAAGTTATTAATGTATGAAAAGTAATTTGACTACCTGGCATGCCATCCAAATTTTATCTTAAGACTTGAAGTTAGCTACAGTACCCATGGCTTCAGTACCAACAAATTACACACACACAGTTTTGTTCTGGAGAATTTGAAAATTTCAACACTATTTTGTTAACTTCAAATTGACCCAATAACGTGATTGCCCTAATATGGATTTTGGGTTTTCTTTTTCTCTGTGTATATGTGTGTGTGTAACTTTGGTATATTTTACATAGTGTCTGGTTTTGAAGGAACCTATTTAAAATCCAGCCAGCCATTTTCAATCCTGTTTTGAAAATAGAAGTCATCGAGTGAAAGTGAAATGCCAGGGATTCCTATGTAGTTCCATACATTCATGTAATATTATGTGAATGATATTTTTTAGGACGTAAGACTTATGCCAAACCTTACTTACGGGGAAGCAGAAAAACGTTGTTCAGTTATTCAGTCCTGTGATACAAGTTTTAAAAAAGATGGTCTTGGGACGGAAACATCTAGCCAACTTGGAAATTATTTGAGCTCTCGAAATGAAGATGCGAACAGTTCAAAGAATCATGTAAGAGATGTTAAAAGTACAAATAATGTTAATGAAGGCATTGGCTTCTTTACTAGCTTTTGTTCATCAATAGAGAAATGGTCATTTTTAGCTGCATATTTGATGACTTGTAAAAACCTACCTTTGTTCATGTCTGTGATAATGTACAGAATGAGTGGGTTAATTGGCATGGAGAGTTCCGGGGTGGCCTCCATTTACCATGGTTATATTGTGTGAACAGTACTGTGTAAAGTTGGGTATCGGAGTGAGTACTCACTTGTAAGCATGGGCTGCATTGACCATTAGGAGATGCACAGTAAACTAAAGTCTGGGATGACTGCACTTACATTTTATACTTTCCTAAACCCTTTTCTATCCAACTAAATCCAGAGGTGCTGCCAGATTCAAGGGTCTCCTGGAAAAAAAGACCAACGTGAAGATTTCTTTTTCCCCCTCCCACTTTAAAAAAAAAGTACACAATGGAAAAGGCTACCATTTCTTTTGTACCTGGTAGTTGAGGGGACAAAATGGACCTGAAGCATCCTGTTCAGTCTCTTGCTACAGGCTGCATGTCACTCTGCCTCCTTACCAGGTCACAGGTATTAGCAGTGGCAGTGTTTCTTTTTTTCCAAAGACATTTTTGCAGGGGAGACATATGGGCCACTGTGGAGCCAAGTCCCAGATAGTTGTGCCTGCTGCGATTGTTTCTCAGAGAGTCCCTTTGGGTCCCACAGGGAAGTGCAAATGGCAGGCATGATTCTCTGGAGTTTCACTTCACAACAGCGAGTGTGCCTGCCTTACCGAAAAGAAAAAAGGGGCATTGTTACAACTGCCACTGGGAAGGCACAGTTGCTTTCCTCAACCTGCAGGGCCCCAAACCAGCACCTACAGGTCTGGCTCTAGCAGGGCTGTTGAGCTAATCGGGCAACTCTCCATGCTTTTACAAGACTCCCGTGCACCACCCTGACCTTCCATGCTCCCTTTAGCTCCCCCTTATGTCATGTTCCATGTTCTCTCCTCCCCTTCCCCTTCAAACACAAGTGCTAAACACATTGATACCATTTTTAGTCTGTTTCCAATTCGTGATTTGGGGTACCAAGACTTTCTCACTGAAAAATCAGCAATGGAAGGAGTGTGCTTTCCTGAAAGATAGCTCATTTTATTTATTACATTTATATTCCACCTTTTTTCTTCTTGCAAGGAATACAAGGCAGATCACATGGTCCTCCTCTTCTCCTTTTTTTCTCAAACACTGAGAGCTGGGTTAGGCTGAGAGCTGGCTGAGTAGGGGACTAGAACTCAATTCTCTTGAATCCCAGTGCAACACTTCAGCACACTGGCCCTAGTTTTCCTAACGTCTTGCTGGATCGCATGCTTCCTAGCAAATATTCTTTGGATAAATCACCCTGGGAACATAATTGAAGTGGAAAAATATTTACAGTAAAATAAGATAGTTATCCACTCATTCAGGGCAACAGGCCCTGCTGCTGCCCTTGGTAAATTGCATATACACCCTAAGACATGCCATCAGGGTTTTACACAGCAAACTTTCAGGGCATCTAGTGATGAAGAGGTTCTTTGAAGGCAGAATGACTTCTGATGCAATCCAAAGTGTTAGTTCATTGAAAGGAAAATATATCATTTGGCTAGTTGGTAGATACAGAAGCAAGAGACTCTCTCAAGAGAAAATGCTATTCTGGATTTTAATGCTGCATCTGTTTTTAAGGATTCTTTGGATGGGGTGGGCTGTAGAAGAAGAACAAGGGTGGAAACAACATTCAATATTTTATAAGCTTCCAGAAAGCATAGAGGTAGAATCCTTGAAGGAGAGTTGGAGTTCATACAGCAGACTTGTGAATGAACACCGAACCAGGATGAAAGAACTGTTGCCGTGTCTTAAAGGGAAATCCCAGCAAACCTCTTTGGAAGAAAGCCTGAGTGAAGGTGAAACAAAATGGTATGGTTTAAGTGAGGTGGAGATGCATATTCCACAGTTCAGATGTTTTACTCTAGAATTGATTTGTTCTTTGTTGAACTTATTCATAGCTGAAGCATGATATGATGTAATTATCTCCAGGTCTCAGACTATCCAAGTTGTTTCACAGTGCCAAATTGTATGTAAATGAAAGGTACACAAACAGGAAGTTATACTTATTATCTGAAGTTTTTTTAAAACAAACTGAAACACTGATTTATCCCTCAAAATCAGTTTGGGAAAACAAAGCACACACTTTTAAAAGAAACACATCTTTGTTGCATATTACTGGATATATTAGTTAGATATTTGAGAGAAATAATTGTTATCGCACTCCTCAGCCAGAAGGGCTCTTGGACTTACTGATGCTCACTTTAAAAAGACAATCACTGCTTACAGACATAACTTTTTAGAAGACCTGACACACCAAGGAAGTATGCAAGAAGAGCTTAAATATTCTGCATACACCAGCCATTCCATGCGTAACCAGTGGGGTCGGGTGAATCTATCACAGGTATATGCAGCTTTTTCCCTTTTGCATTCAATTATGAATGCCCCAGAAAAATCGTTGTTAGTGCTGTGCCCAGTGCTCAGTCTCCAAGCAGGAAGCTGACATATGCAGGGTCCACTATTAGGCTAACTTAAGTCCCATTCATTTTAATGAGTCTAAGTAAAATTAAGACCGACTTTTCTGGAGTTAACACATACCAAGGATGTCAGCTTGTCAGGCTTTTAAGTTGCAGGAGGTTACTTTCATTTACCTAAGGAAAGGAAAGAATAATTTGAGTTAGAGTTTACAATCCGAAAGATCAGTCTCCTAGTTTATAAATTCACAGACTCCTGATGAACACACATTTTAATAGGGATTTTCTGGGCAATCGAGAGATTCTGTCAGAATGTTAAAAGAATGGCTCTGTGAAAGGAAAGAAATGTCTGAATTATTTTGGAAGCATAAGTTGCTTTTCATTTGTAAAAGTTCCGCTGTGGAAAAAGCAGCATGCTTCTTCTTGCCTTTGTAAAGGTACATGTACTTTAAATGGGCTACTCCACATAATAAGCATTTTCTATATATAAAAGTATAGTGATAATACAAAATGTACAAATTGTTCAAGAAATGTAACTACTGCACATTTGTTTGCTGTGTACCCACATTCCGGCAAGCCTTGGTTGGCCATTGACACCTGCAGAAATGCTATGCATATGCAAGCAACATGCAGATTAGTTGCTAGAGAACAAATTGCTTTCTATGTCAGAAATGCCTAATGTTTGAAGTAGTGCTAAATGAAATGATTCCTGCATCCTTGGGCTTCCTCAAGCAGAACATCTTTCAGTTCAGCCTTCCCCAACCTAGTGCCTTCCAGATGTTTAGGACCACAACTCTCTTAATGCCCAGGGCAGCATAGTCTTTGGATTAGAATTACAGAAGCTCCAATTCTACACATCTGGAGGGTACCAGATTGTGGAACACGGTCTTAGTTTAATGTAAGAAGCCATTTCGCAAGTCCTAGGGGATAATTAACTCGATCACTATACTGTTAACATTGCACTAGCTGAAACTTTTGTGCTTGTAACTTTGTGTTTGGTAATATGTATTGCCCTTTTCTTTCTATCTTCTTTTCATTAGGTTATGGGAAGATGCCATTAATAGCAGAGTCACTTTCCAGGAAATACTTCATGAAACAGAGATGACAATTAATTCAGCTGAAATGTTTTTGCCATCATTTAAAGAAACACTTATCAGAATTTCTAAAGTAAGTTGGACAAGTTAGCAATAAATGTTACTGAATTAAATGCCTTCCAATATATGCTGTGGCTTAGAGCTTAAAAACTGGTAGCAGAGATATCTGTGGAACTGAGTTTTTCTAGACTTTTTCCTACTGAAGCTGCCTGCCTCCTTCAGGAGTCACTCTGGAGGGTTTTTTGCGGGGCGGGGGGAAATCTGACCCTTCTGGGTACCAGATCCCACCATCCAGCATTTCCTAGATGGACACACCCCTTTCTTTCAGCTTCTGTGCAGTTCTTCCTTCATTTCTAAAACACTGAAATGCTTTTCCCAAGACTTAGTTACTGACAGTTATGACCACTCGAAGAACGACAGTTACAGGTAAGCAACCTGCCTGTCTTTAAGCTACAATAAGGAGGTATTTGGCATCTCATCCCCTTCCCCCTCTTCTCTTTTACCTTTGGTCTACCCATGACTGAGTGAGGATCCCAAGAGCTTTTTCAGAATGGAATTTAGTCCTTGAACTGAAAGGGCTTCAGTGCCCCTTCTCTGGAGGTTAAGGGGGTCCTCTGGGACAACACTCAACTCAGCTCAATGGAATGAAGCTTGGAAACAGGCAGGAATTGTGGATCCTTCCTTGGCATGAACAGAATCGGCTTCCATTCATGCCAAAGCCCTGTTGGACCAAGTCTATGGGGTCAAAACAGCCATTGCTTTAAACCTGTATCTAGCAGCTACATCTTTTTTCAGTGTTATTTGTACTCTGGAATACGTGCAGGAGCTTTGATCTTTAATGCTCCCACCGCCTCCTCACCATGGTCCCAACACATCCTTATATCAAAATACACAGCCTTTCTGAGCTTTTCCTTCACAGCCTTTTAGCCAGCCAGACACAGGCAAGATGGTGTGACGCTGCACTTGCTGAATGCAAAGTGGACAAAGCTCCAGACCCAGAGGACAACTTTGGTTTGAAGAAAAGTCATTTGAGTTGTTGTTTTGCCAAACAATTTAACTGTAATTTGATATTTTGTCAGGCTTGTTACATTTCTGCATCAGATATGATAAAGATTTCTGTGCAAGAGGATTTACTGGTAAAGGAGTTACAGGCTCTCAAAACTATGAAGGGACTATTACAACTGCTACTTAGATCAAGCAAGGACAAAGAAGTAAGAGGATGTACAAAAATTGTGACCAAATATACCATTGATCACTAATACATTTAAGCATTTTTAATTATTTTGAAGTTGGATTTGTTGATAGAGGTGAAGGTTCACAGACGAAACAGCTAAGATAATATACTGCTGTGCCTGTACCTTCTCTTTCCTGGAATGAGGTGTGGCTAGTTCTCAAGTTTTGTCATCCTACCTCTGCCCTGGTAAGTTTCCATGTAGCTCTACACAGCAAAGCAAATAAGGATTCTACCCTTCCTGCTAGATATGGCAGGTAATAGCTCTTCCTTCTAAATGGATTTCACAAAGGATCAAGAACACCAGGCCAAAGACCCCCTCTGCATTTTTCCTTAAGAGGATCCAGCTATGCTGTGCACAAAGGCAATCCTTCCCACCTTACAAAAAGATGCGTGGAATTTCTCTTCTTGCAGTACATCCATTGGTAGACAAAAGATGCTGCGTCGGGCATGTCAGGCATTTGGCTTGGGCCTTGTTAGTCAAGCTGCTCCTGCAAAAGAGAACTTCACTGTACTTCTTGTTACTTAAAATTAACACACTCGTGGATGATGTCAGATATGCCAACACAAAGTGCCAGAGTGGTGGCCTGTGGTAGTGCTGGGAAGCTTTCTTGAGCCATGGGCACAGCTGGCAATATGAGAAACTGACCTGGAGAGGAGGTGTAGCAAAGGATGAGAAACCTGCTACAAAGGGTTAGTATAAGGCAGAGGTGGAGTCTGAGGCCCAGCACACAAAATTGACTTATTTGAACCCACACTTTTCTATTTCATAGCAGTCTCAGCTGCTGATAGAAAATGTGCTCAGTTTTTAAAATCAATGGACACCAAAAAGAGTGTCCCAGAATGCTTTGGTGCCTGTGGGCACCACTTTGCCTGCCCATGGGCTGCAGGAATAGCAACACTTCAACCCTGAGTTCTCCCCCAGTCATTTGGTTTGTGACCAGTGCTCAAAACAGGCAAAGGATAAGGGCTGTTTGATGTTTGAAGCAGGCCATTAACTGTACAATTTTCACTTGCTGGTTTCCAGGGAAGAATTTTTCTTTGCCCTTAGTGTAAGGGTCCAGGACAGGGGGGTTCAGATATTAGACAAACACAACAAAACGTAGGCAATAAAGTAAGATGCTACAAGGCCAGAGTCCAACTTACAGGCCAGGATCAAAACCAGGTGTCAATCATAGTTCAGTTCAATAAACAAAAGTGGGGTCAAAATGCACAGGGCAAGCAGCATTGCGAAGGTAGCTTCAGGAGGGAAGTGCCAGCACTTAAACAGCTCTTCCCCCAGTGCTTCCAGGCAGTGCTCACAAAGGCCCTAACAGCTGCAGCAGAGTCTGGGACTAATCCTGCAACTACCAGGGCTGTTATTCTGGAGTTTAGGCAGCAGGAGGGGCCTTGAAGCTGCCCGGATCCTGACACTTAGCTATTTACAGATAGAATGACTCTTTTAAATATTAGAGAGATGGCTGCTACAGGAGGTAAATTATTTTGCTGTGTTGCTTACTGTATTAGGTGACACTGAATCATTTTTGTCTGGTTCCCCATTTGTAGATCATCGGTGAACAGATTGAAGATTTGATACAGAAGTTAACTTTAAGTGAAACAGAAACCATTGTAAGTGTTGTTTTCTGGCAGGTAGTGTTGTCCTGAAAGGCAAACTTCTCCAGACTGGTGTCTTCTGGATGTGACAATACATTCCATTGATTCCCATGCTGGCTGAGGAAGATGGGAGCTGTTGGCCCACACATCTGAGGCACATCAGGATGTGGAAGGCAGGCCAAGGCACTTCCCGAGAACAGGAAAGAGGAGGTTGGCTCTGCTTTGTGCAGCCTTTGTGTCGTGCTCTTTGCTGCGTGGCCTCTCCCCATGCACACGCTCCCGATCTGTCTAAGATGAGATACGCTGTTAGGCCAGGGAAACTAAAACAAAGTGGCTGGATTCACGCAACCTGATAAGGCAGTGTCATGCGGTGGTTAGGGAGCTGGACTGGGGAACCAGGAGATCTGGCTTTTAGTCCCCACAAAGCCATGAAGCTCACTGGGTGACTTTGGGCCAGTCGCAGACTCTCAGCCTCACAGGGTTGTTTCTGTGCAGGAGAAAAGGATATAAATCCAGATCCTTGCTCTGACTGAGGTGCAGATAGCTCATGCATGCCACTGAATTTGGGGTTTACTTGTGAAAATGCACATAGGTAATAATGCAATATCCCTGATAAATTCATGTAAGAACATTTGTATATTGAGCTTGATCACACTTTCAGGTAGTCTAAAGATCATGCAGCCTAGTGCATTTCAACTGTTGGGACTGCATCTTCAGTCACCTCCAGCTGGCATGGGCAGCAGTCAGAGGTTGTAGGCCCAAACTTCTGGAGAGCCACAGGTGGGCTGCCCTGCTCAAGCCTCATGATGTTATGTACATATGTGTTTGTTTTCATGTGTACAACATGCTAAAACTTCCAGGGCAGCAAATAAAAGCTATTATACTTCTTATTCCTGCACTAGTTCTTCTATGCATGTGCTATCTTTTCCCTTTAATATCTCTTTCTGATGTCATATTTGATTGCTGTTTTGTCCATTTGAAGAGTCTCAAAAATGAAGTAATTGAGAAAGAGAGGTCTATTGTGGAACTTTTGACTCAGCTTCAGCAAGAGAAGGTAAGTTTAATTTCCCTTTGAGCAGATATTCAGTCTTCAGTCTCAGTAGCCCTAGTCTTGTAACTTGATTGTATTCCTCATCAAAGGATTCAGGGAGGCCCAGTCCTGTCTTGTCACTGTCTAGCTGGCTGTAGGGTGGGGTTTGTTTGCTGTAGGCTGCAATCCTGTGCCCACTTCCTTAGGAGAAAGCTGCCCTGAACTCAGTGGATCTTGCTTTGAGTAGACGTAAAGAGGACTGTACTTACAGTAGTGTGTCCCAGTATCTTTGTGTGTTACTTGCTAGTAAGGGGGTATAACAGAAATCTTAAATTTGTCTTTTTGGACATAAATCCAATACATTCAGTGAACCTTACTTCCACGTATATTAGTTGTATCCAGTGTTAGTCTAACCTAAATACCATTCGTTTCAGTGGATCTACTGAACTAAGTAGAACTAATGTCAATTTTACCCCTATGAGTATAGCATTGCAGCCTCAAAGTGTATATTTTAAATAAAGAATGTGCCATACTGTTTTATTCCCTTCTTACTGAAATATTTAAGCAATAGGAATTCACTGATTTAATGCTTAGAAAGGTTTCTCCACTTTAATTTCTCTGAAGTATTGCAATTTTATTGATGGCATATTTTGTTTTTTAATATTTATTTTCATATATTATTGTTGGCTGCTTTGAGCTTTCTTTTGGAAGAGAATATGGGGTGCAACTATAAACATAAAACTGATCTACAAGCAATTTCATCTAGACTAAATGACTTTAAGATGACAGTCCTATGCACATTTACCAGGGAGTAATTTCATTCAGCTCCGTGGGGTTTGCTTCAACTAGATCTGTACAGAATTGCACTAAATTGCAGTCTTTCAGACAAGGCGATCTCCTGTTTGCCAACGAGCATTCTGACTTCCCTACAGAAAGAGAAAGCATATTTTTCAGTTCATTGCTCCTCAAGCATCTGTTACAAACATCTTGTGCTTTTGCAGGATTGCTGATGAAGTTTTGCTGGTTTGTATGGGAAGTGATGGGGGGAATTACAGGGAGAACAATAATTGACAAATACAGCATTTCTTTGTACTCCGGGGAGAACCGCTATTGCAGTCCTTCCGTTAATGGGAGGGCAAAGCCAATCCATACAACAGGGAGGGGAACATGAGGCCCATGGGCTTTCTGGGGTCCCAATTTGGCTCTCTGAAGTTCTCCAGATGACCATGGGCTTTTTCCCCAACCAGCTGATAGTTTGGTGAGTTCCCAGCTTTTGTACAGAGTATTCCCATTCTAAAAATGTTGACATTTATTTATTTTAAATTAAAATATCCCTTTATTTTTGACAGTTTGGGCCAATTCCATTTGTCTTTGACCCCAGCCAACATTGGAATGTGCCCCCTCACAGCTTCTCCAACATTGAATTTGGTCCTTGAACTGAAAGAGAAGCCCCACCTGTGTGACAGTTTGAATGCTTGCTCGAGGTATTGCTACGCAGATGCTGCAATTTATTTTTGATTTCTTTATATTGTAGGCAAATGTACTAAAAGCATCACGCCATTCTGAATCAGTTCAATCAGTGCAAACTCATCTGCAGTTTCAGATAGAAAAAAAGGAAGCTGAGAATAATCAACTGAGAACAAAAATTCAGGTTATTAATTTTGATTTGCTTCTCTCCCTTGATAAATTAAGCATATTTGGTGGGTGTGGAGGACTTCAAGACAACTCCACTGTGGCTTGAAGTCTTTATTTATGTGGTTAGTTATAGGAAATTTCTTCAGGGAAGATCTTACTTTAACTTTTGCAAGGAAAACCATAAATCTAATAAAAACAACGAGGGTTTATACACAGAGAACTTAAAAAAAAAACTCTGGCAAGTTTGCCTACTCTAAATACACAGTAGCTTGGAAGTTATACCGGATGAGCATGTTTTCCAAACCCAGCCTGCAATGAAACCGCTCCAGGTACTCAGATGACACACTAAGCCATAGTCAAGCCAAATAATAACAAATGCGTGGCCAGAGTGGCAAAAAGCTTTGGCCAAGTGGCTGTCATCGGCTACACAAACCACCGAAGCTTAATGTGTTGCACGAACCTGTCTGTAGAAATGGTATGTGATATCTCAATCACAGTCCATCAAAGACTGTAAAAAGTAATCTGTGTATTCCCAATATATTTTCTTGGCTTAGAGCAGTGATGGCAAACCTTTTAGAGACCAAGTGCCCAAACTGCACCCCTGAACCCACTATTTATCACAAAGTGTTAACACTACAATAAAACCTGAAAACTGAGGTTTTAGTTTAGAAAAAACAACTCACAGCCAGTCCAAGCAAATATATATATATATGTCCTTGGCAGTGCACTGACCGGCCATGCAAAAGCTCAGACAAGTCACAGCTAATGAGTCGCGGTTTGTGGCATCATCGCCTGGCACCACTACTCCTTTCTGAGCATGCACATGGCCCCTGTGTGCGCTGTTATCCGATGCTCGGCTACTGGGGCGCTGCTGGGGCAACTTGGCTCACATGCCGACAGAGAGGGCTCTGCGTGCCTGCTGTGCCACACGTGCTATAGGTTCGCCACCACTGGCCTCGAGGAAGGTTATCCTTAGAGGCTGTACATCCTTTGGACTACTTCAGGTTCCACATTGGAGGTATAGTCAGATTTTCTTGAGGGGGAAAATGAACCAGTGTTGTGAAATGTGGCAAAAATAATGCTTAAAAACCTGGTTCATGTTTTGTACAGTGAGGAATACTTTGCACATGGACTCTTCTATAAAGCAGTTTTTTGGGCCACACTCCCAACTAAAGTCACCATTTAATTGGCATTTATACTCTGACTAGTTCTTCCCTTTGTTGACTGTTCCAACATTGATTTTAAACTGTGCAATAGAAGCTTACAAACAGTAATGCTAAGGATCGCTGCTGAAAATATGGGCTAAAATTGCATTCCTGTGTGAACTAAGAAATTGTTTTCATCTTAACAATGACAAAATTATAAATTTGTGCATAACAATGCTTTTTAAGAGAACTGAAAAACAGAATGTCTAACTGCTTGCTATAAAGGTTGTTTTATACGCATGCTGTACTTTGTTTTTATTATGTGGAAGAGCCATGGTGATGAAGTAACAGTGACATCTTGTGGTGACAGCTGGAAATAACAGCCACATTCCTTAACTCTGCTTCCCCCGAGTTTACTGGCACAAGACTGCACAACTTGTGACTGGTCAACATGAATGGTGCCCACTAGTTGTATATTAGGGTCAGTTCACCTGATCAAACAGCTGACTGTGGTTTATTTAAGCAGTAGTTAACCATATATGTGGCACAGATGGACAACCATTTTCAACATAGCTTGTTATGTTGTCAGGTTGATGGGCCCACATCACCAAACAACAGACCATGGTTATGTGAGGGTTGTTTAACCCTCACATAATCCACAGTCCCTGGGTTCAGACAACACAAGTTGCCACAAGTACTTGAATATTCAAAATACCCACCTGTCTTGATTGGGTGAATCAGGTCAAGTGTTCTGCCAGTTCTTGATATTTATTTATTTAAAAGTTTTGTATGCTGTCCCTTATGCCTTGGCATCTCTGGACAGCTCACAATCTATAAAATGGAAATACAATAATACAATAATAATAATAATAAAACCACATGTATAAAACATAATTCAATAAAAATTCACATAAATGACAAAATCAAAGCAACTCTTTGACACAATTAAAATATTAATGTTTTAAATAATGATTAAATAAAAAGATTTTGACCTGGTGCTGAAAAGAATATAAACTCGGCACCAGGTGCACCTCCAGGGAGCGCATTCCATAATCTGGAATAGCATCCTTGTGTGCGCAGTTTCAAGAAAGCAGCAGCACCTGAGAACTGCTGTGGTGTGGTCGTGAGAGTGTAGGACTGGGGTTCTGGAAGATCCTAGTTCCCACTTACCCATGAAACTCATTAGGTGACTTTGGGCCAGCCACAGTCTCTCAGTCCCACCTACCTTATAGGACTGTTGTGAGGATAAAAAGGTACTAGGTAAGCCACCTTGAGTTTATCCTGAGATATAAATGCAACATAACAATAATAATGATAATGAAAACACCGGGGGGTTTAACAAGCCTTTGGTTGCCTGCCGTGTGCTGCTGGTGGGCAGCATTTGACTCTTACTTTAGCAGTATCAGAAAGCTACAGATAGAGTGATGCTATACAGGTAGAAGCCTGTTCTTCAGTGCCTTGCATACTCACTACAGTGTCTGGGCAGTGCTGATGGGTAAGGTCTCCCTGGTGCAGGTGGGAGGAAGCTGCTTCTACTGAGTCAGAACATTGGCCTGTATTGTGGACACTGGCAGTGGTTCTCTGGGGTTCGAGTGGGATCCTCTCCCTGACTGGGGAAGTCAGGGATGGGCCTTGGAACCCTCCGCACTCTGTGCTGGCTCTTGAGCGCTGCACTGTTCAGGCTGCAGGAGGAATCCTGCTCTAGACTGCTTCAAGTGGGAGTAGAAGGAGTCCCCTCCCAGCTCCTTACCCAGAACCCTTCACTTGTAGGTTAACACAACCTTAGTCTGCTATCCTGTATGCACTTGCCTGGAGTGAGCCGCTAGCCAGGCGATTCATTGCACAAGTTGTAATTTCCCCATTAAATGGGCTTATGTTTTCTTCAGTGTAAAGAGTTGTGAAGGGCAAAAAGACTGTTTCCTTTGGGATGATGCATGTATGTGTTAAGGAAGATACCTCTTCCAAAGTGCTTTTCCCTCCTCATTCGCTCGAAGGGAAATGCTGCTTATGTGGTGTCTGCTGAACACAATGGTCACACTTCCTAGTATTAGTAAAACAACCCAAATGTAAATTCTGCTGCTTGTTTGTGGGGGGGAGGGATACCTTTTTAGTTGATCAACTTATGTTGAATCTAATCCATTAAACATTGCAGCTGTTCAGGCTCATGTAATACGGCATCAGTCATAACTGTGAAAATAAGGGTAATATTATGACTTTCCCCCAATTTTTAGGAGCACAGTTTCTGCTTTGATTGAAGCAAGGCAACAATCTCTTCTTGCATTACTGATCAGGTTAGCACTGAGTATTTGGATGCAGGTCTTCAAAGTTAAGATGCACCTGAAGTAATTCTTCAATTTTTTCAGCAAAATTTAACTGAGCATTTTAATAGCTTTGCCAGAGTAATTGAGCTACCTCATATGCCTAACTTAAAACTAGAATCTGTTTTAAATATTCTGATGATCCAAGTCTAAACATTTTCAGGTTTTTTTGGTTTCTCATTTATCCCTGTTTAGGCTAATAAGCACACATGTGCGCGACTGCACGCACACACGTGCACACATCCCCTCTTCACTCACTTGATTGTATAGTAAGTTTGCAAAATTCTGTTGCAGACTATAGAAAAGAGCATTACAGAATGGAAGCTACAAGTTGGAGAACATAACCAGAAGATTTTGGCTGAAAAGGAAAGGAGGGAGGAGAGAAGGAATGCCTTGAGAAGAGCTGCTCGTGTTCAGAAACAAAGAGCTGAACAGTTGGAAGTGGTTGTGAAAAGCTTACTTTCTCAAGTGAAGGAGAAGGTGAGTAGCTGAGTAGGAAGCCATTGTTTCAGATTAACACTCTTTCAAAATAATAATGCCACAACATTAATCCCCCTAAAGAATGCTGACTGAAATTTAAAGGGACATGTTTTGGTATTTCTGCCCATATGTGTGCTTGTGAAGCAGTACACTGATCTATGTGGCCATGGGTATATTTCCTATCCACAGTGTGTGTGGAATTGCATGAAAAGTTGCACTTGCTTTTACTTGCAGATCCAACAAAAGCATTTTATGAACTAGCTAAAAGTGGGCTAGATGGAACAACACTCAGATGGCTCCACAGTTGGCTACAGAGTCGGACTCAGAGTGCACATCAGTGGTACCTTCTCAAACTGGGGAGAGGTAACAACGGGGGTACCCCAGGGTTCAGTCCTGGGCCCAGTTCTCTTCAACATTTTTATTAAGGATTAGGAGGAGGCTGATACCCTCGAAGACAGACAGAAGATTTGAGGTGATCTTGATAGCTTGGATCACTGGACAGAAAAGAACAGAATGAAATTCAATAGGGACAAATGCCAAGTTTTGCACCTAGGAAAAAGAAATCAAATGCATTGTTATAAGATGGGGAATACTTGGCTCAACAGCACTGCAAGTGAGAAGGGTCTTGGAATTGTTGTAGATCACAAACTGAATACAAGCCAACAATGTGATGAACTAGCCAAGCCATGACATACAATATTTGGATGATCACATCATCCAAATTAGCAAGGAGTTCCCTGAAGTTCAGCTAACTGCTTAGATTTACCAAATCCTGTAGCCATAGTCAAGTTAAGGAGTTGCATACTCAAAAAGTGTGTGAATAGGAGGCCATTGGGGACCCTGGTAAGCAGTTCTCAGACTTGTGCTAGAAGAGCAGAATATATAGGAAAGCTGATAACATGGATAATTTGCCTCCCATGTAAAACATTTGCTAGAAAATTTGTGTCCATTGCTTGCAGGAATATGCTTTAACAATTGTACAGTTAATGCATTTTGAGGTAGCTCTTCAAACCTTTGTCTGGGAGTGTCTGTTAAAATCTGCCTCCCATATCCAAAGTCAGAATGGCTAACAACTGCTTCTGTAAAATTCCAAACGCACGGCTTCCCAAGCATCCTACTAAAATTAACTATTTTTCCCATCAGGGTTAGGGATGGGCAGTTTCCATCCCACTCACCCAGGCAGTGCTGGGGGTTTTATGCTGTAGCACTGGGAAGTTCTCCATTTTGGCACCTGGGGAAGGGAGAGGCAGGGGAGATAGCAGCAGGTGCTCCCATCAGTATGCAAAGCATCATGTCCCTCAGAAGAGGATGCTCTGCAGACGTGCCTGCTCACCCCAGAACTGAGTAAAAAACACTCAGCGTAAGATACCAGCTCGCGATGGGCTCTGCACTGCTTGATGCTGTTCCATCACTCAGGCGGGCTGCTTGCATTTCCGGGCACCCACACTTGGAATGTGCACTCATCAAAATGAGCCACTAATGGCTGGGTTTTAAAGGATAAGCCTACTGGGCTGGTCTTGGTCAGCCCATCCCAACTGGTGCTCTCCCAATGCCTTATTGCAACTCCCAGAATTCCTAACCACTTGCTGGTCTGTTTGGAATCGATGGGAATTAAAGTCCGAATCACCTGGAGGGCCTCTGAGAGGTCCAAGAGAATCCAGAGGGTTCTGGCAATGGCCATCCAACTGGGAAGCCAAGGCAGCTTCCATTCTAAAACCAGGCCTGAAGCCTGATTAAATTAGATCTCAATACACTGCTGCATTCACGGGTGTGTTGAGTTAGCCAGCACCTACCTGCTCAAGTACCTTGCCTACTAAGGAGATAAAAGCAACCAGCCAATAGTTGCTAACATCCCCAGGGCCCAAATAAACATTTTCAAGAATGGCTTAGACACTGCCTCCCTTAAAGTGGCCAGCAGCACTCTGTCTCTCAAGGAGAATTTGATAACGTCTGTTAGATATAATAAGTCATGCCAGGCAAGGTATCAAGCACACAGGTGGTTGACCAAACTTGGCCAAGCACTTTCTTTATATCCTTAGGCCTGCTCTTCCAGCAGCTCACTGCATCTCTGCGTTGGGCATAGACGAAAAGGCTTCTTTCTTTTGACAGATGGTTTGTTTTGTGTTGGGTATAGAGGAGTGACAGATTGGTCCATCCCTCCTCCATCGGCCCAGTCAGATGGTTACAGGAAATGTCTCCTTCTGTACAACTCTTCGCTGCTCTATTACCTAGTAGCCAGTGTGGTCCAAGTGCCCTAGCTGAGAAAAAAAAACAACTGGTTTTAAGCCCTTATTGCGATCTCATTGTGTTGCTTGCTGTTCTGTTGTTCTGTGATGTCATGGCCATTAGCCAATCAGGAATTTACTGCAGTTGAAGTAGAAGAAATGTATTCAGTCAAAATCTCTAATTGCTGTTGGCAAGTGCTAGACAAACAACAGAGGAGCAGAGGGGTGTGGCGTATCCTCTGTAGAGGGTTGTAGGCTGTTCCTCATCTTTCATAAAAAGAAGTGTCTGAACAAAGCCATGCAATAAAAAAACCCTTAGTGGTTTGAAATGTTTTACTTCGCTAAAAGGTTGGTAAGATGGCCTAGATCCCATCTGATTCCAGTGGTTAACAGTTTTCCAAGGGGTTTTTTTGTGGTGTGTTTATGTTGAGATTAAGTGTATATTATTCAGTCCTACTGCAATACACTTGGAAACTGCTTCGAATGAAAATAACTCCTGTGTTTAGAGAATTGGGCAGAATTAGAAATGAGTTCTTTATATTACATGGTCTGTATTTTGTATGCCTTCCAGGAAATTCAATTGTCTGAGGTACTTTCAGCTTCTAATGTCTGGAAAAGTCATCATGAAACGGTGGTAGATGAAAAAATCAGGTTAGAAGTTCAGGTTGAGACTCTGAAAAAGTAAGTTCATGCATTGTACCCTCTTGGCAAATAATCCACTCCTGTATATAAATTTTTAAAAGCCTCCCTTGAAAGCTTGATTACTTTTGGGGTTATAGTTTTTGATCTGCAAACTTCATACAGAATTTTGAATGCAGTAGATCTAAGAGTTACAGATGATATATATCACTAGTGGTGAAGGAACCCTTCTGGCTTCTTATTCATTTCCAACAAGTTACAGCTCCTAAACAGCTTAGGATCAGGCTACCTCAAAGACCTTTTGCTCCCATATGCATCTGCCCAAATTTTACTATCTTCTCCTAAACCTTCACCGAGTTTCTCCACCTCTGGAAATTTGTTAAAGGGGGATTAGCAAGCAACCATTTTATAGGATGCCTTCCCTACTGCTAGACATCTGGCGCTTAGGCCTCACAACCTTTTGGTGCCAGGCAAATGCAAGGCCTATTCACTCAAACTGCCATTTTTTGTAGTTCTATATACTGTCTTCTATTACTGTGTTTCCTTTTCATGTGACAGGTTTATTATATAATCTATTTTTATCATATGGTATGCTGTCCGTCTTTCGTAGGGCATAGAATCTATGTCCTGCAAAAAGGAAACAAAAATTTGCTATCAAAGATACACTAAACAGTATTAGTCATTCTTTCTTGCATGGCATCCAGTGGATGTTAGGAATAAAGTTGACTTAGAATGGGGTATGCTATGTTGTCTTTTTCTAGGCAAGGAATTGCTGATCTGCGAATGTTAGTATTAGTCTTTTTAGCTGAGCAATGGCTGATGCCACAGTCACTTTGGCACAGTCCCTGTTAGTTCTTTTTTCCACTACAGGGGGACAACATAGCACAAAACTGGTGCCTTGTGCTAGCTTCAGACATCTTATGCTCTACTGTAGTAACATTGCTCTTTTGTTCTTCAGTGGCCATGAACCAGGCTTGTATTTAATGACTCACCTGGTCACCATAAGTTATAAGCAATTTCTGGAACGTGAGTGGGGGGCCCATCTGAGAAGGGATGGATTGTTTTGCCCTCTTCTGCGGGTTATCTGTCTTTCCTCTACCACTCCATTGCATTTCTCTGCCGTCCACGGAGGAAGGGAAGTGCCTTCTTCCATGGCTAGCAATGTAGGCTATGTAGATTTGCAGAAGAGGGATAAATCACTCCATCCCACCACCACCAGCATGCTTAGCAGAAGCCCATCTTTTTAATTAGCCTGCTGAGGCACAGTAGCCTATATTTCCATACAGTAGCGGGGAGAGGGAGGTTTTCTCTCTATGTCAGTCACTGGCGCATAAGGGCACAATTCTATACATGTTTAGACAGGAAGGAGTCGCACAGCTCCCAGTCTCCCCCAGGCCACCATCATTGGCTGGGCAATGCTGGGAGTTGTAAGACTTTTTCTCCGCTGAATATGACAGGATTGTTCCCTTAGCAGTTTTTGCAACTTTAGTGGGTTTATTTATAAGATAAGCTCTTTTGCTGTCAGATTAGTTATGGTTCATATGTGTTTCTTGCCCTAAATATGCCCTGAAATTGTATCTAGATCTTGGAAATTCATAAACAACAAAGCAATTTTTATCATTTTTAGTGGTAAATGTGTGTATTAAGAGCTTTCTCCCCTTTCCCCTGTTTTGCATTTGGAAATGGAAATTATAGTGAAGGAACTAATCCTAAACATATGAAAGAATGTTTGCAGAGTTGAAATAGGATTCATTTGGGATGTTTCTTTTTATTTTAAAAGACAAAGTTGTTCAGGATTCCAGTAAAATAAAATATACAATATATTCAGTTGGTATTTTGATATTTGACACATGTGAGGGTGTTCTGGAAAGTAACGGCAAAATGAACCACGTTAAAATTGTCCATTATTTTCAAACATATGTAAGTCTTTATTTCAGTTTGTTTAGGAGGAAGTGGATAGGGAGAGATTTTTCTGCCTCATAGTACTAGAGAGGGAGCTGAATCATGGGAGAGCCACAAGAGTTAGGAAATACTTTTTCACCCAGCATAGTTAAACTGTTGGATTTGCTATCACAAGGTGTAGTGATGGCCACCAGTTTAAAATGGGATTAGACAAATTCAAATCAGAGAAGGCTATCAGTGGCTACTAGTCCCGATGGCTACTGATGGCTTCAGTATCAGAGATGGTTGCCTCTGTATAGCAATTGCTGGGGAACATAGGTGGCATGGTACTTTTATATTCGTGTCTTGTGGCTCTCCCTTGGGCAGCTGATTGGCCACTATTTGAAGAGACTAGATGCTGCACTAGATGCAAAATTTGCTAAAGCATTGGAACCACGTTGCAGCCAAGGGCTGAAGGAGCATGTAGCTACTCTGAACTTTGATTAAGAGAGTGTCAGTACGCATAAACTGCTGCTCCTCCATGAATCCCTTTCTGCTTTGACAGAACAAATCATGGTGAGGCATTAACCCCCGCCCCACCCCACACACATCATTATTTTGAAAAATCAGAAACATTTCCCAATTGTCACCTCCAAGATTAACTGTTCATAGGGGTTTATCAGGTTCAAACCCTGGTTCAAAGCAAAATGGTTAGTGTTGGCATTAACAGAGATATAATGGGAAAATATTAGAGTTAGAAGAGAAGAAAACTTGCACCCAAAAGGAAGGATTCGGAGGGAGCCCAGCAGCCTAAAGCTTGATACTTGCATCTTAACCCTGCTTGAGGTTTCAGGAACCTTACGACTGTCTCAGCCTTCTGAGCAGCATGGACACCTTGTGCTGCTCTGAATCACTGGGGAAACAGCCCTGAAGCACTAGCTAGCTGCATATGTTTTCCCGCAGCTCCATGGCCTTAAAATGGATTTCTACTGTCCATTCATGGAAGGGAAGAGAAACTTGTAGCCTTGCAAATGTTGTTGGAGTCCCAATTCCATCAGCCCCAGCCAGCATGCCTAACGATCTGGGATGATGGACATTATAGTCCAATACCATTTGAAGGGTTATTGGCTCTTGGTTTAAATCTATGTACACTTGCCATAGTGCAACTTGCTTTCCAAAGTTCAGCACAGGACAGGGCACCTCTGTCTCTCGGGCCCATAATACATTTCCTGCTTCCTCGCTGGCATTTCTTTGCATCACGTCGTTTCAGACCTGTCTGGTTTGTGCTACTTCAGAGGCAAAGCAGGGAGAACATTCTCAGCTCCTGGTTGCAGTGAGCGGGACAGTGCTACATACAGATGTTAACTTGTTTAAATGTCATGTGTGAATCATAAACATTTCTCTTCTCCAAGTATTTTAATAACTGATTTTAAACTGCTTTTAATCTGTTGTTGTATATGGTCGGCCCCTCACTAGATGCAACTTTAAATGACCATTGTTAAGTGGTTGTTGTTTTATATGGGATTTATTTATTTATTTATTTATTGCTTTATTGCTTTATTTATTTATTGCTTTAATATTATTGTTATTTATTGTTTTAATATTTGTAATTCTGATTACTTGTTGTAAGCCACCTAGAGATTCATGTTGAAATAGTTTAACAGCACACACATGTTAAAATGAATAAATAAATAATCCAATACTGGAATGTATTTGATAGACCCAATTAAAAATCATACACTTTAACTTCGCGCTGGTGTGTCACATAGATAGGTAGAGTCATGGTCCTGTCCATGCAGTGATGGCACTAAGCCCCAGAGAATACAGCATGACATGTGAGTAAACATCAGGCATAAGATCAGGCTCTTTACCTTGATTTATTCCTGAATAAAACTCTAAATTCCAAATTAGATAATTTTCTGTTGTGCTACCTGTAGTCATTTGACTCCCTTGAACATCACCATTAATTGGAACATCTGGACTCCAGCTGCTATGATTAGTTCTTAGATTAATTTTGTATTGTTTAAGCCAAAAATAAGCTGTAGTGTCCAGTTTGCGCAGCCCAAAGCACTCTCTCGTCAGGCCAAGTGAAGGTTCATCATATAGAGTGGCAGTGGATCACATGAATGAGCAAATCATGGGTTAATTATGTAATAGAAAAATTTCAAGTAGGACCTCTGATTAAATAGCATGGTACATATTGCTTCAGAAGATTTTTTTTTTATATTAAAGGCAAATAGGTGACTGCATGATGGAACTCAGTAGAATACAAGATGTTGGAAGAAAGTCTAAGAGTGAGATTATTGGAAAGCTTAATTCTGTCATGTCTGAAAATGAAAAGATTTCTCTTGAAAATGCAAAATTAAAGGTAAAGATTATTTACAGTTCAAATTGCAATTACTTCAGTTTTGTTTTGGATATTATTGATATTGTTTTTATTATATTGTGATTGCATAACCATCCAGAATGCTTTGGCTGTTGGGTAGTATAAAAATGTAATTAATTAAATGACATTTATACCCCACTTTTTTTCCTCTTCAAAGGAAACCAAGCTGGCTTACATGATCCTCCCCCTCTCAAATTTATCCTCACAGCAACCCTGTCAGGTAGGCTAGAGTAACTGGTCCAGTCTCCCAGTAAGCCTCATGGCCAAGTGGGGACTAGAACCAGGGTCTCCTCAGGTCCAGTCCAACATCTCAACACTATTCTACCTGCGCTCACATTGCAACTGCTTTACAGATGACCAGACTGAATGTCAACTACTTCCAGTGGAGCCATATATTCAGCATTCTTTCTCATTCAAAATTTTCTGTCTAGTCTTATGTAAAAATTAATCCCCACTGACTGAATTCCCAGTGGGACTTACTCAGAATAGGCTTGCAGCTATATTCTTGCTATATTCATAGAAAACAATTTGCAATAAATTTTAGTTTTTAGATATGTCACATATACAAAACCATAATTCAAAATATAAGTGTCATTAGTATTTATTCAAGATGTATTGTAATTCTAGGCTTCCCTCTCTGCTTTGGAAGACAATATTATTTCAGCAGAAACTGAACTTGAAGATTTACATGAAGAGGCAAAGCAGCAAGAAAAACTGGTTGAGCAATATAAAATAGAAGTAAGTTATAAACTGGAATAGTGATGTTCTGGCCTACTTTGGGAAGGACTTTCACTTTATGCATGGTAGAGAATATGCCTTTCTCCCTAACCATTGAGCAGTCATTTCAGAAGCCTCTGGATATCCACTTGCGGACACAACATTTTATTATGGGGTGTGTGCATGGAAAATCCAACATGCCTAGTTCCAAATTTTGTGCTGAATGCCCATAGTTGAGTGTGAAATGCACATACTGTCTGGGCCTCCATGTTAGAATCGATGCGTACAGGGCTGAGGGCTCCCACACATCAGTGAAGCATCAAGGAGTGTTTTCCTCCTGCACTACAACAAGTTCCTCTGAGACACCTAAAATGTTCCATAAAAGTACATCTTCTTCTAGGTGGAGAAATTAGAAACAGAAGCTGAGGAACTGAAAGCCATGTACGAAAAGGTCATCTGGGAAAGCAGAAAGATGACAGAAGACAAAGAAGTAGAAATGGATGCAGTGAGTGCATGCGGCCCACAGCGTCTTCCGCTTCTGTACACAATGCTTGAGACATAGTTCTTGGACAGAGAAAGATGTGTGGAGTGATTGACATGTGCTTTCTTCTTTCTCCCCCCTTCCCTGCCCTGCTCCCAATGCGGCCGCACAGATGAAGAGCCAGACGGAGACTCACTTGAAGGAGTTAGAACACGCCCGTGACCTGCAGAAGGCAGCTGAAGAGAAACTGCAGAGGTGTCAGGAAGGCCTGCTGTCATGCCAGAAGAGCTGCCTAGATAAATCCAGAGCCATTAAGGAGCTGCAGACTGAGGTGCTTGGGATTAGTACTTATCTATAAAATATCCAAAGCCCCGTGGAAGGAACACAAGGAAAGCGGGCTTTTGTTTCTCTTTGTGTTGTTATTCACGGGGAGCGGGTGCATTTTGCCAGTTGAGGGCACCCATGTCATAGCTAGAAGAAACACCAACATTTCTTTCATCAAGGAGTTCTTGGTGCAGAAGCTCAGGCCTATGGGTCTAATGTGGCCTGTCTGGGTCCCCAGGTGGTCATATCCTGTTCCCCCAGCCCCTTCTTGCTAACTACTGTTTGCTTAGTGGTGCCCCAGCTTCTTGCAGTTTTTCCTCCTTTCTAAAAGATTGAAATTGTTCTGCTAAGGTTTAATCACCACTAGTAAAAACTTTGTTTTAAACCACCCAGTGACCCTCAGTTATGGGGTGGTGTTGAGATGACGAGGATGATAATGACTGTGATACATTAACATATCCTGGTATTTTTGGTCCTGCACGTTTTTCCTGCGCCCACATCTACCAGTGGAATACAGCCCCAGGAACTCTGAAACGTGTCTCTTGGGTTGCCAAATCCATGCTTGCTTGGCTGTGGCTTTCTCCTTTGCTGGGAACCCCTCCCTCCCAATACCTTCTCCAGTGGAAACGCAGTCCATGAGAAAAAGGAAAAGGGCCTTTTGAGCAGTAACGCTTAAACTATGAAACTGCTTCCTGAGAGAGTTCATCAGGTCTTCTCCTTGCCTGCTTCTAAATGGGCCTTTACAGTTGGCTGGGCATGCCAGGAGTTGGAGGCCTTTTTCAGGATAAACATAAGGCACTTTTATTTATTTTATTTTTTGTGAATGTTTTGATACAATCCTAGTTTCACTGTTGCTTATATGAGTTTTAGTCTGCCATTTGCGCTGCTGGTTGGTTAGGTTTGTTTTGAATTTGTGTTTCTACATTTTTATTTGTAAGCCATCTTGAGTATAATTAAATACTCAAATAAGTGAAATTGCTGTTCTGTATATCTGTGGATTTCTGCTCATCACCCACAACAGGTAGGTATGAAGCCTCTGAACCATTCACCCTCTAATCACCTCTGCCTTCACCCTTCTTAAAGGATTTTTCACGTTGGCAAATTTCCCCATTAAAAGATTGATTCAGCAAGGTGTGTAGATCTAAATGGGAAAGGATGCAGTGCTGTGTGATCGGTGTCCAGTTCTTGTTCACATAAACAAATACAAAAACAGGGCAATGCCATATTGTCTGGAAATGAAGTGTTACAAGGAAAACAGGTTATTTTATTTAAAGTTGCAGTCCTGTATATACGTAGGACAGGGAAGTTCCATTGAACTTAGTGTTACTTAGCTCCTGTTAACATGCATAGGACTGGGCAGTATGTTCTTCACTGTGTATGTTAAGTTTGCACATTACTGCGCAGACCAACCTTCCCCAACTTGCTTCCCTTTAGGTATTTTGGTTTAACGCTGATGATTGGCCATGGTGGCCTGGACTGATGCTACTTATGGTCCAAAACATCTCTAACACCCCAAGTAGAGGAAGGCTGATTAGGTAGTCTGATCATATACATTCCCTATATACCAGAGCGGCCAGACTCATGCAAAAGGAGAGCCACATGTGGTAAATGTCAGATGTTTGAGAGCTGCAAGGCATGAACTAATATTTATATTTATTACGCCAAACAGACATTGCAACCATTATCGGGCTGGTTACTGCCAGTAAAGGTCTTGTGAGTCACCATCTTGGCTGTGAGTCATTGACATTTGTTCTCTGCAGGGCTCTTGTGCTGACTGGGCTGCTGTTTGGGGCTCAGAGTGGAAGTGAGATGATTGACACGCTACTGTGATTGGTTATCACAGCAGGAGAATCGCTTGTCTTTTCCTGGAGGGCTTTTGTGCTTGCCGGCTCAACTGCTGTGTGAGCCTTGATTGGCTGAGACTCAAGAGTTGAAGTCACATGATTAAAGCACTACAATTGGTTATCCCAGCAGGAGACTCCCTCCTCCTCGCCTGCTTTTGTTCATGCCTGCTCAGCTGCTCAGAAGAGCAGTTGACTTTGGGCTTTTGGCCCCTCTGCAAGCCACAAAATAAACTCAAGGAGCCCATGTGAGTTGCAAGTCTGTTTGGCCACCCCGCTATATACCTAGTTCAGCCACCAGATGGCACTGTACCTAGTTATATCAGGATGGAGACAATAAAGTTCTTGTTTAGCTTTCTGACTAGTGTGTCCCCTCAGTCCCATGACAGCTGTTAACTAAACTTTGCAAAGTAATAGAATAGAGTTTGCAGCACTTCTTTGCACTTCTAACATACTGGGTTTTTTTTAATCTCTTCAGAATATGTTAGCCTACTTTCATTTTAAAATTCAAAGCCCAGGCTTTCCTGAGACACACGGCCTTGTGCGAGAGTGGCTGGGCTGACATAGAAGGCTGGAGGAACACTGTTAGCTAAGCTCCCTGCGTGAACCATCTCTCTATGTAAATGGCCAGTTATGCATCTGAGAAAATGCTTACCTGGTTCATGTTATGCTTCCTTTAAAAAAGCAGTTAAGATGTATATTGATTATACTCCTAAAGATGCTGGCTTATACTGGACTTTAACTGTCAGGGGAAGAGAAAGGCTCACTTTGTTCTTCCATGTCTTCTCTGCACCAGCCCCTACTGAATGTGTGAACTGGGGCCAAGCTGACTCTTCAGAGAGTTGTGACAGTTTTCAGCAGTACTGCCAGGGTCCCTGTTCCCAAAGCATCTTTATCCCAAAATGCAGCATTTTCAGAATGTACACTGTTCCTTTTTTTCCTCCAACTGTACATCCCCTCTAATCTAGAAGTGTAAAAATAAATAGTAACAATGTACTGGTGCGCATGTATTCCCCCTCTGCATCCCTTAAGAAATGTGTGCTTTCGGTACAGGAAGTCCCCTACATACGGATAAGTTCCACTCTGAGAACACGTTCATAAGTCCAATTTGTAAGTCCAACAAAGTTAGCCCAACTAATGCAATCAGCTATATAGTACCGTAATAGGGTTATAAAGCCACTGGAGGACTTCCATTGACATCACTGGAGGACTTCCGGAAGTTGTACTTCCAGGAACGTGGCAGTGCGGAAGCGCACTTGTGTTGTTCACCTGATAGGTTCTTCCTCACATGGCATTAGGTTGGCGCAACCTGTGTTGCGCTTTGCTGGACTCACCTCTCAATTATCACAGTAAAGTACACAAAAATACATTCACATCTTTAAAAGTTAGTAACTTGAAGGTTCGTATGTAGGGGACTTCCTGTATTTTGATTTGAGAAAGAACTGAGTTAGAAATGTGATTAATATTAAATTCACAGGACATACTGGTTGTGTTCACACCAAAGAACAAGCCAGCACTCCTCAGAATCCCAGCTTACAGTGCATGGCTGGTACATGCTGCAAGAAGTCAGTCCCTGCAGCCAGGGCCACAGAGGCTGCTTCTATCCTTTTTTTCCCTGTTTTTACAGGTAGGTGACAACGATGGATTCTTGAAACAGCTTTCTTTGGAAGAGGAAAATCACAACATTCAAATGAAGTATGAAGAAGTTAAACGGTAAATGTGACATACTGACATTATGCTGCACTTCAGAATGTTTCTGTCTTTACTGTGGCAATCTTACAGCTTTGTTTCTACTTGACTTACAAGAAAAATAGAAGAAATGGAATTGCAGAACAAAGAACTTGAAAATCAGTTGTCAAACCAAGAAGAGAGTCTTCAAAAAACAGAACTGCACTTCAAACAAAAACTTGCAGACTGTGATGCTTTAACCCGACAACTAGAAGTTGTTTTAGAAGATGGAAGAAAAAAGGTAGAAACTGTATTCAGTGTTTCAATATTTCCTGCTTGAAATTGGAAATGGACCTGTTGGTTGATAATGTTCATGTGTTAGAAGTAGGGGCTGTTGTGAACAGTTCACTCTGTTCTCAATCCATCCTATGCTGTACATTATCAGAAAGGAAGGATCCTGTTTTGACTGGAGCAGATTCTGACTGAAGGTACTATCCAAAAGGCAAAGTAGCAGACAGGCAAATAATCAGTGGGGGTCAGGCTGAGTTAGGAGTGGTCAAAGCCAAAAGAAAGGCAGTGAAAAGCATTACACAGTCCCAAAAGCAGAGTCCAGCAGGCGTCCCAAGCATCAGGCTCATGGAACATCAATTGCTGGGCAAGGTCCAGAAGGCAAGCTGAAAGGCGCTAGAATGCCATTGTTTTTAGCACGGGTTAGGCAGGCATTGAAGGCTTTTTTCACCAGAGCCTGCTGAGCTGCACTCAGGCTCTGCTGTGGAACATCGGAGCTTTCTGGCCAGAGCCCCTCCCACCCAGGAGGAGACACTTGGGTGCGGCATGTAGCACAAGCATAGAAGAGGCATTCTGTCTTCTGTAATGCTGGAAAGATCTGTTGCTTGTTCCAACACCCATATGCATCATTTAAAAGGGTGTGCTGCTTGCTTCACAGCGGTGGGATTTTCCCTCATATCATTTTAATTCAGCAGTTTATCAGTGAATTGTCTAAACCTCAAGAGGAATCCAGTCCTAGTTCAAAAAGGCACCTCTTTAGACCTCACAGTCTTTTGTTTGTTCTTTGTGCCTTTTGTACGTTCTCCTAGCCTCAGGAGGATGGACTCACTGGATGAATCAGGATGTGTTTTCATGAGCAGATGTCTCTTCTGTTAAGGGAAGCCTTTTTTTGCTTGCTGGAAGAGGGTTGCAGGAGAACGGTGAGCCCCAAATTCAGAGTTATTCCTTCTTTTACACAGTGTAAGACTCTTCAGTTTCTCAAGAGCTTTATATTACCTACTTCAGTTCATTCAAGCCTGCCCCATACTGGTGTCCTCCAGATGTGTTGGAACCACAACAAATGTGTATGTGGTTTTCAGCCAATATTACAAGTGGGTCTCAGCTAAAAAAAAATGTGCACCCATTCTGTATAATGTGCATCAATTTTCCATTAAAAATTAAGAACACTTTACACTGGTCCCTTCTTCAGACTATGATTCAGGCTATCTGAAGGATATTTATTGGGATGATTTCAGATGCAACACAAAGCGGAAGCCACTTTTCACGCGTCTTCCCCTGGTATTGCAGGAAAGGCTTTTCCATTTAAGGTACTGAAGGTCTGGTTCATACATTCACGAGTGCTTGGAAATGCAAAACTGCAGGGGGATGGGGGGATGTGAGGTGGGAAAATGCTTTTGCATCATGGAGAAGTTGTTTGTCTAAATCAGTTCCTCATGTAGTTTGGGTCATTTTAACTGCACCACTATGAAAAATGCCCAAACCATATGAGAAGCTGCTTCACCCACATAGTTGTATTTTTCAGTGGGCAGAAACACCATTAATCAATGTATGAATGCAGTCTGAGCTATAGATCAGTTCAAGGTGTTCCATCCTGGTGCTTAATCTGAGCCAGAACTTAGCTCTGGAACCAATTTGCAGTGTCAGAGCTCACCTTGGATTAAGTAAGAAGTCATAAGAAAAGAATGCCTTTGGGCATGTATAGAGTACCTCTCCCTCAGCAATGATTAATTAGTGGCTTGATTCCAAAGATTGATGACTAGAAGAGAAAACACATTAGTGCTTTTCCAAAAACTCCCCTGCAAGAGATGGCGGAAGACATCTCACAGTGCAGTGCTGCATGTCTCGGGGGGTGTGCTTGAGCATGAGAAGCAGTGTGTGAAGGAAAGACCCAGGTGGTACTGTATGAGACAGTGTTTCTCAACCTGGTGTCTTCCAGATGTGTTGAACAACAACAGAAGGCATGACTATTCCCGTTCAAAGGGCCCAGTCCTTTGAAAGTACTGTTGTCCTTTCAGTATACACAGGAGCTCCATCCTGATTTTCAGTGCTGATTGGCATTCTGAAGGAGGTTTATGATAGGCTACAAGATGCAGTGCAAATGTAACATACAATGCAAATATAACCAGTGCCCCAAACACTGTATATCACAGCGCCAGTGAAAAAGCTCAGAAACTGCTGAAAGGGGAATAAAAAGCCCAGGAAAACAAGCCTGTATCTTGTGCCAAAATGCCAACAAAGCAGGTAGTGAGCAAGTTTTCATGGAGAGGGTATTTCATAGGTGGAATGCACCACGAACAAAGCTCTTTCCTTAAGATGGTGGGGTACTGAGGGAAGAGCCTTGGATGGAGCTCTCATTGTGTGACGTGTGGGAGATGATGCTCCAGCAGATAGCACAGAGTGCAATAAAATAAGTCAAGCTGGAAGTTACAAGGGCACGAAGAAGTTTTAGCTTTGAATAGAAGAGATACCACACATTTATTAATGCAAATAAGGCTTGCAATATATTAGTGGACATGGTACTAGTAGGTTTTCCACAAGGTTACACTTAATTAAGATTACTGATCTATTCATTTTATCTGTTATCAATAGGAAGATTGATAAAATTGATATTTTTCCCATTTTTCTTTATCATGATTTTCATATATTGCATCTCAAATGAAAAAGTCAAAGGAAACTAAAATAATTTGCTGTTACCTTTAGGTATTAAATCAGAAAAAACCTTACAGTTTCAATAATGTTTAAGAGTACAATATAGGTCTGAACTTTTTGTCTTGCAGTTAACAGAGGAAATGGAAAAAATTGCTTCTAAAGAGCGATGCTTTCAGTTGAAAATATTGGATCTAGAAAATAAATTAAGACAGAAAAAAGAAGAACACAAAAAGCTATCCAGAAGACTAGACTCAGTGAGTAAACTTCCTTTTTTACTCATCTGTTCTTTATGAGCTGAATAAAAGGTCATCTAACCTGGGCAGTATTGAACTTAATATTGCTGCCTTTATTATTTAAATATTATTACCAGCAGCCTTGTGAATTCAAGTGCCACATTCCACATGTCTTCACTTTTACCCTTTCTTCATACTTCAGCCAGATTAAAAAACATACAGACATGGCACAACACACCCATGTTTTAGCACTGGGGTCTCCCAACCTGATGATCGTGGTCATCTCTCTTCATCCCCACTAGGCTCTGTGCCCCTCATAATTTTTATTTCATTTTTTAAAATCATTTAAAAATAACTGGGAGACTGGCATGCTGTACCCCAAAGTGTGGTTTTGCATTCAGAGCTCAGACTACACTGTTTGTGCTTGGGTTCTTGGACAAGTGACTTTTCTATTACTTCCAGGAGTTTGTCTTCTGGGAAGTCAATTGTTTTATGACTGGTCATACCCACAATGGTTGTCATCTTGTGTGAGCACCCACAGCACACTCTCAGAATTCCAAAGGTGCCCACCAAACTAAAAAGGTTAAAGATGCTCGCTATGGCCAAACCTTTCAGCATAGCATATATACTAAAAATTAACATTCTCCCAAGCCTTCTCTTTTCTCCCCCATTCTGTCAGGACACCCTTCCCTAACAGTGCCACCCTTATACCACCACTGCTAGCTCTGATTTCATATAGCTTTGGTTTTGGAAGACATCAGTTGAGGGCAGGGGGAATGCATGGTCTTTTGCCTTTTATCTGTTGTGATCTGGTATTTGCACGCTGCTTTCCCAACAACAAAGTTGAGCTCAAACTATAGACTTTTGTGAAGGGGTGTCCTTACCCAGTGCTTGAGTCTGGCTTTCATCTCACAAAAGAAGAGTTTTCTGCCCTGGTGTCACCTAAAGCTGCCAGCAAACAGACAGTTTCTCCCTCCCTCCCTCCCTCCCTCCATATCTCACCTTTTTACCGAATAATGGCACCAGAGGCAGTATTCTGTAGTTCCTAGTCGTTTAGCCCCAGTATGAAACATCACTCTGCTAGTTTTATGCCACTGAAGCAGCAAGTGCTAAATATCAAATGCAAATCTCTGCCAAAGAAAGTCTGTGTGTATGAATACACCTGAGCCCATAAAGTAACTTAGCTCAGTCACAAGAAAACTGCTTCCAACCATTGCATGCCTAACAGTTCCTTTCTGTCACTGCATTTCTGCCTATTGTTTCATTCTCTCTTGGAAATTGACTGACATTCCAGAAGAGTAGCCCTATTACCACAAGAGCAAAAAAGGATCCTGTAGGGCCTTAAAAGCCAGCAAATGTAATGCGGCCTTAGCTTTGTAGTGCGCACGGTATTCTGGAATGTGGGCAGCTGCCTCATACCCAGGTCCGCTCAGTCGTGCATGCAGAAACTGTTGGTGGCTCTCTACAGTTTTATACGGGGTCTTTCCCAGCCCTGCACAGAGATGCCAGGAATTGAACCAAAGCATGTGCTACAACCCTTCCTAATTTCAAATAGCTCAGGACTTGCCTGCGTGTGCACGTGAATTTCTTATCCACTGCTGTCAAAATGAACAATTACTTTCTGTTTCCTCAAATCCTTAATTAAACTTTCTTAACCATTTCCAAGCATCCAATTCAAAAACTTGGTGCCTACCAAGAGTTATGTTCCTACGTACTTTTTCTCCTGCAGAATTTCCCCTTTCCTTCCATGTGTCAAGACCTGTATATTGTTTTAAGCTTTTTCATCTTCAGTTTTATTTGGACTGGCAGTTAAAAAAAAATAGGAAGCTAATAGATTGTCATTAAGTTGACAAAGAACATAATGATTGTTGTCTCCTCCATTTACATACATACACATATGCACACGCAATACATATATACATTTAGCAATATATTATGGAAAGAAAAACACAGAAGAGATTGTGCAGTTCTTACTGAAATTATTTAGCAGAAAGCAGGATGAATTGTAATTACTGACAAACAAGGGCCAGGACTGCTCAATGTATAAAAGTTATAGGGTATCACAGCAAAAACATTTTTTAGAAGCCCCAAGAAAGTAATTTGTTTGATCACTTTTAACCAGAAGTGATTACAGAACATAAAAATATACCCAGCACTTACAAATTCTGGAATAATTCTGACACTTATTTTAACCACATGTAGTTTTAAAGGTTATGTTCTAATAAATAAACATAAAAGTAAATCCTAAGAATGCTGTGTATATTTTATGGGACTGGATTTATGAATGGATCCAATAAAAGCACTATCAATCACTTGATTTTAACAAGTACCTTTGGTGCCAAAAATATAATTTTAATTGGTTACAGGTGCAACCATAAAAAGAAAGAAAAAAAGTCCAGAAGAGTTTTGAGACTCCATGGATGACAACCCCAGTTACTTTATATTGAAAATTTGGGTTGTATTAATAGGATTGGCTTATAATGAATTTTGAAGTCTTTGCCTTCAAAACCATAAAACTGGTTAAAGACCAAGATTGCATGGCTTAGCCGACACCCTCCAAACATGCTATCCTTTTGGCACCATGTTCGGACTGCCCTGCATGCCAAGGCATTTGATGGCCTTTGGTGGCACAAGTGGGGCCGCTTCAGCTGCTTCTAATAGGTCTAGTTCTAGTAAGTTATTTTAGTCGATCAAATAGTTAAATGTGTTTTTTAAATTTCCATAGTCAAATTTTCTGATGTTTTTATTGTATTTGACTTCTATATAGTATTTTATGAATGGGTCTAAGCTGCCCAGAGAGCTTCAGCTTTGGGACAGCGTAGAGATAAAATGGGGAAGAAGAAGAAGAAATAAAGATGGGGCTACCCTGGGCTACCTTGGCAGGGAGCTCCAGAGGCCTGGAGCCCCTACCATCTAGAAGGCCCTCTCTCGCATTCCCATCAGCCACAATTCAGATGGCCAGGGGCAGGGAGAACAACATCGCCTGATTTAAAAGCCCAGGGAGGCTTATGTGGACGCATGGGGTCACAACAGTTGTATGCAGCACTTTGAACTTTGCTTAGAAACAGACCAGTAGCCAGTGAAGCTGTAGCAGCAATGCAGTCACTTGCTCTGTGTAAGGAAAATTGAGTTTGGCCACAGCATTCTGGTCCAGCTGCAATGTATTAACACTTTCAGGCATACCTTCCTAGAGCGTGTTGTTGTTGTTGTTACTTGCCTTCAAGTCAACTCTACCTTAGGGTGGCCCTATGAACGAAAGCCCTCCAGAACTTCTTATCCATGGCAGCCCTGCTCAGCTCTTCCAAGGCTGTAGCTTCCTTTAGGGAGTCAATCCATTTCATATTTGGCCTTCCTTTTATTCTACTGCCTTCAACTTTCCCAAACAACATAGAGCATGTTAGAGGAGTCTAAACAGGGTGTAATAAAGCTGTGTGTCACCATGGCCAAATTGTAGGCATGGGTGCATCTGGCAGACTAGCCTTTGCTATGTAGATATTGTGCATGGATATGAGTTTTTTGGTGTGAAAATTGTGCAAATCACAACAGACTCCTGAGTGATCTTTTTTTCTTGTGGGCCAATTTGTAATAGCACTCCCAAATACTCCATCAAATAACTGATCAAATGCCTTTTAAAAATCTTTTAAACATTATTTAAGCTTCTCATATTAAATTCTCTTTTTTCAGAAAGAAAAGTATCATGAAATGTCTTTGAAAGAAATAGAACACAGTCTTCAAAGATCAGAAAACCGAAACCAGAGCATCCAGAATTATATAAAGTTTTTGAAAGCCTCCTATGTAACCATGTTTGGCTGAACTGGTTTTTTCCCTTTTCTCTAGAAATAAGAAGTGCATCTGGGGACATGTGACTGTGTGTAGCATATCGGCCTGTTGTGATTGGGTTCTTCTGGACTGTGCTCTCTGAAGAGCATGTTTTATGTTAATTATCCACAATATATTCTCCAAGCATTGCTCTCCAAGCATTGCTCTCGCATATACGTTGGGGGTGGGGTGGGAGACCAGTTTTAAAGAAACAAACAAGACCAAGTAAATGCAGTAAAAGTTCTGGCATAATAAATGTAGCCAAAGCAACTCTCATCTGCAAAGTGCTCTGTTTTATTAGGATTTTCCCTCCTTTCTAGGATATTTCTCATGGTAGTTTTGGCAAAAACTGTCCTTGTGTCCTGTTCATTGCAATGGATGAATTGTATTTCAAAGGGCTGAATGATAGTGATACTGTATGAAAATAGTTGCTTGGACCTAGAGAGTCTTTGAGGTTTTGTGTGTGGGTGCTGTCCAGGCAGAAATTACTGGGGGGAAGCTTAGACCGGGGAACAGTGGGGAGGGGAGGGGAGAGCTTTCTTCTGTTGATCGGGATCCCACTCTCTGTGTTAATTTCAAAAAATAATTGGGTGCTTGGTTATATCTCTCCCACTGTCTTGGCTTGTTTGGTCCAATATATAGGAACCTCTTCCTACCCTAAAAATAGGATTACTAGCATCTCAAGAACAGTTCTATAGAAGCAGTTACACTTCCAAAAATAAATATTCTTGTTAATTGCAGACCAGGTAATTAGGAAAACAGGCACCCAGTCAAAACATAAAACATGTAAGTATTTTTATATTATTTGCTGTTGGTACTTTTTGCTGAAATATTGTTTTCAATATTTAATGATCTTGGTGGCTTCACTTTGATCCGTTACTTGTTAACTATGAAAAGTCAGCACTTGTTTGCTCGTTCATTTCATTTTTAATAAAAAACTAGACTCCATTTCTGCCTTTCTTACACATGTATCTACACCCTTGCCCTGCCTCCTATTGCACTTGTAGAAGGCAGCATCTCATAATACTCCTTTCTGAACCTGAACAGACACATAATCAGTTCATGGTTGCTACATGATGTCTGCGGTGCCATACTGCGTACATCCTTCATCCCATTCCTACTTGAGCTTCCTCTTAGGCACTTGTCTAGACATCAGCATGTCCCAATATCCAAATACTGGATTTGCCCAGTGCTTCGTTCAACGTAGCTGACCCATCAAAAAAGCTTGAGAGAAGGATGGAGCTTCTGCTTTTAAATTATGGTTGTGCTCTCCTCTCAAGGTGGAGAGGAGAATACTACATAAGCTTTCCAAAACTTTCCAGTATGTTAGATTATAACTGCTAGGATTCCTAACCATTGGCTGTACTGGCTGGAGCTGCTGAGCGTTCCAGCAAAGTTCAGAGCAGCTGGAAGGTACCATGTTGTGGAAGGCTGCACCACATCACTAACGGGAAGGGCAGGAGGCAGTGGCCAGTTATCTATAGTCACGGGGCTTCAGCAATCCCTGAAGACTGAAGTCAAATGCCCTGATGGTTGGAAAGCCACTCTCCACTCCTGACTTCCTAACACTCAGGTTTAGGTTCCAGTAAGGCTCTTACTGCAATAATTCCAGTAACTGGTTTTGAGCCTTTACAATTTCAACATAAATTAGTGAAGAACAGGTGACAACATAGTTCCTTAACCGGGATCAGTTCCTGGGTTTCTCAAAAACAGACTAGGGTTCAGAATACAAAATAAGTCCAAACAAATTTATAGTTCTAAGAAAGAAGACAATTTCAGCTTAGAAAGATACAGCACGCAGTATCCCCTACTACCATTTGTCCTTGTTGGAGCAGAGCAGTGGACTCAAAAGTTCTTTATTAGACATTTGATTCTTGCAAGCAAATCTAACTTGTGAGTGTGTGCTACACCTCACTGAACACCTTTGTTCTTCCCTCAAGTTGATGATGTGACTTAGGACATGGCCCAGAAGCCTCTTTGCCTGCAGAGACTTCTTCCTGCTGCCCCATTCCCAGGGAAGAAAGCCCTGCTCCAGAAGCAGGGGATTCTGTCAAGGTGAAGTCTCCCATGTGTGGAAGATAAGCCATATGAGGGACCGAGTCTTACCTGCTCCTTGTTTTTAACTGGATGGGAGGCCTAGTAGAGCAGCATTCTCGGGAGCCTGGCTTCCCATGCCTGGGCCCCGCTCCACAGCTCAAAATGACTGTGATGGGCTAGCACTCGCACTGTACTGGGACAAGATCTGAGAAGTGTCACCACGAGGCAGTGCCAGCCTCAGAGGAAAGCAGAAGAAGAGACTCTTTGAAGATAGAATAACTATGAGGGAGACCATTGAACTTTGATCCTCTGCTCAGGCTGAAGGATCCTTCCACAGCAACAACACCCTCCTTGGTGTTGGTCCCCTACATTTCCTTATTGAATTGAGGGTTCAACACATAGAGGGGAGGCAGAGGTCTACCTCTAGGACAGAGATCTTCAAGGACAGTTCCGGAAAGCCTTATCTCCACGACAAAGAGCAACATAATCTTTTCCAACTTATGGCCCAATCTGCCCACCTTGGTCTGAGGTAATTGAAAACAAGGAAGGAAAGGGATAAGGCAAAGTAGCCAAATTAAGAAGGCCTGTCCCTGTATGGTTAGTAGAAGGGCTGGCTGTTCTCCCATACAGACCCCCTTTGAATTTTCCACATTCTGTTTCCCAAAACTGAAATTAATTTAATTGGCATTGTTACCACTTCATACACAAAAGATACTAAACACTCTGGGGGTGCAAAGTGTTTTTATTGTGGCACAGAAGTTATGGAAACAAAAACAATTTGGCACCTGTTGGCTGCATAAGTGTTTACCCTCTGCAGTCAATACTTGGTAGGAGCACCTTTGGCAGTAATACCTCAATTTTAAATTCCAAATGCTACACATGTAGAAATGCAAATTATCCATGTGTGGTATCAACCTTTGCCCATTCAAAGGTACAGGAAAGACACTGTGGAGTTCAGCTGGTTTCAGTGATCCTCTAAAGTGGGCACAATTCAGTAAAAAGAAGAAAATATTTCCCAGGAACAGAAATCAATGAGAGTAATTTGGAGAAGAAAAATGGGCTAGGAGGAAATGCCTTTGTATAGTATTTGCCTATTTACATGGATGTCTGTGTGTCTGTGAAAACTCACAAGTGAGGGGTGTATCTGAGTGGGTGGGAAATTTGTGTATGAGAAGATAGAGAGTTACTTCCAGGTTTACAACAATTTTTTCAAAAAGTATTCTTCCTCTCCATCTCTGAACTTTTGGCTCCTCTCCTCTCCTCTCCTCTCCTCTATTTTTTTAGTTTTAATTCTCAGTAGGGATGGGCATCTAGGTGGGGACACTTTGGTGGGGAAACATTTTTGTGGAAATAGACATCTACTTGGTACTGTTTTCTTAAATCAACATGCAGATCTGCCAGTTCAATGATTAACAAGGTTAACTGTGTGCATCCAGTCCTTACATAATTCAGCAAATAAGTACCTGAATCACTGACTGAAATAATAATTTCTGTAAACTCCCTGCTGTATTTTGCTTTTCTTCATTTAAAGTTACAAAATAAAAGCTTAGTACAAACTTCTTCATAGATCCTATCAATTCAAATTCCTGCTGAAAGCATAATGTATCTGTTTTTAAGTTAATTGATATGTTTTTTCAAGTTTGTGGAGAATCCAAATGGTTTGATTCATTTCACGTCTGTATTATAAACACTCACTACTTCAGTCTACTTGGTATCATATGTTGGAAAGGATGGGAATAGCAGATTACTTTTCTGTTTACAAAAAATATTATGAGCTTGTACATATTTATGCTGTTCTGTAATATTGTTGAATTCTTTGTAATGCAGGGAAAATAGTACTGAACCCATCAAAAGACCAATAAATAAATTATCAATGTCTTAGGTGCCATGAGATCTTCACCGTACAATAGGTTGATTTAGTACAGCAATAAGTTATCTCCTCACTTTTCCCCTTTTCTTTCTTAAACGTTACATGAGGTGCATGCTAGGTTTTTCAGATGAAATGAGAATTGTGATGGGAATACATAAAGTGTTATAGGCAGTAGACCCTTGGACTGTATCCTTGCCACCCACCTGCTCACCCTCCCATCTCAGTTTTTTCACTAGGTCTGATGAAGGAGCTTCACTGGAGAAGACTCAGGATAATTTGACCCCTCTTGTCTCCTCACTTCACTGCCCACCAGAAGGCCTCTTGCTCTCCTTTAAGGTTGCTTTTCTGTCCTCCAGTTCATTTTGTGCAAGCTGTGAAGGGGCAGGTTCTGAGGTCAAGATCTCACGTTTTCCCTTCCAAGCTTGGATGCTATCTCCGACCTTGGAGCAGTTTCCCAAGCCATCCTACAGGCCCTGGGATGCTCACCTCAGGATCATACAATGGCTTTCCAAGCAGTCTTTGTGTCTGCATAATTGTGTAATTCAGCCAAATATATTTAAAATTAAATGTAGATCTAGAGACATACCTTCATATTATGTTTCTTAATGTGCAATCATATTCTTTCATCTTTTTCAACAATTATTGCAAATAACACTTCCTCAAAACCTGCCATAAAGTAGTTTCTGTGTTGTGTTATCTTCCAGTAGTAATTAAAATTGCTGGGTTGTGAAAACTAGAATTAAAAGGAAGGTTTTGTGGCTGCTGAGTGTGAACAGAGTTTGCATATCTGTCTTTTGCAATGGGTTGCTGTGAGGTTCCAAAGGAAATAATAATTACTGTTATTACATGCAAAGGAATGGACTGTAGATGCACTCAGAACATGCTGCCCATGAATACTCCAGAGTAATGCAGTCCTTCTGTTTAGTGTATATGCATAAACTGGATTCTCACACTGTGCTGCCTCTCACTTTTACTTATGAATAGGCATGTAGGTTTTGTGGTAGATATAGAAAAGGGTGTATTTGTAATACTCAGAGATATTCCAAGAGCTGCTTTTCTGTGTAGCTCTGCAAAGATGATTTGGTTCTGTGTGTTTCCCTTGCCCCACCCATTCACACACATTGTGCTCATTAACTTAAATTCACTGGATTCACTTGCAATAGTTGTTGCTGGAAAAGGAGAATGTGGGTCCAAAGTGTGCTTTTGTATGGCTGTGTGAATTCTTCACTCCCTCCTCGGCACTTAATGTTGAAATAATACACTTTGGGAAATTAATTAAAAAGAAGCTGGCACACCATTCCTCAGACAGAAAAATGGTAGGCTGGAGTTTGCTGGGAGTTACAAGACTTCTTTCTTTGTAAGCATGCATAGGATTGTGCTCCTAATGACTGACTCTTGAGATAATAGAATCATTAATGGAAGTCAGGAAAATCCCTTGTATTTCAACACTGGATGGCAATCTTGATACTGGATCATGTTGTGATTCTCCAGTTGTGAGCAAAGTTGGAATGAAAATAAAACTGAAAAAGATGCTATGATCTAAGCATTTCACTCATTTTGATTGCCTCTGTTTTCCAATCAAAGAATTCAGCAAATTTGATATCTCTTCTTTTAGATCAGATGAATCAGTGCTGCAGATATAGAGTACTGTAGTCCACGGCTGCTTTGTGAAAGATGAATCCTTAACCTTTTAAGTAAAATGTATGCTAATTATTATATTTATTCCATACTGTAATATAGTTAAGCTGAGTCACTTTATAGAAAATAGATGACATTTCTCTTTCTGTTCCCCAATATAGCTTGTTTCATTTGTGTCTCTAAAATACTAATGAATGTAATTTATAAAATTCTGATACATGTAATTTGGCAATACCAATTTCCTTGACAAGTTTTTAGGCCCTACAGAGAGAGAAAGCTATTTCATGTTGTTAGAAAAAAGCAATGGCTTCATTTCTTTAATCTTCTGGCCATTCCTCTAGAGTAAATAAAAAAGTAATGATAGAGGAGTATTTTTCCAAGCTATGGGAATGTTGCTGTTGAC